CTTATGCTAAAACAATACAAAATAAGCAGTTTTTAAACTGCTAGTTGTGATTAAATGGCCTATTTTTAAAAATGTATTACACCAATAGAAAGCTTTGGATATTAGCTTCATCACAGTATAAACTTCAACACATCTTTTGACTCCAAAGTATTTAAATTAACTGTTAAACCTACTATATGTCAGACCATATGATTTATACAGTGAGATACACAACCTGGCGCTATCTTTACTTAAAATACTACTGATAAGAATAGCCTGTCGTCTGCTAGTTCTGAAAGTGTTTATTGGTGTATTACAATAGGCCGGTACTGTACAGTTCAAGGGATTTTATGCACTTTCCGTTTTGTTACCATGGACATTTTAAACAGTGAGTGGAAAATCGCAGGGGACAAACTATGGTCAGTCATGGTGGCAAATCACCGAGGACGGGTTAAAAAAATCCCTGCAATCCCCTGTGGAAAATCACAGAGATGTGCCATGATAAATATTGTATATAAATGTTCACGTGCATGTACAATGTAGTCTTGTTAGAAAAAAATCAATAACACTTATCTATTGCTATAATAACAGCTGTAACATCATCTGTATATGTTTAAAAATCTGTAGTTTTGAAGGTCCATTTGCATAAAAAAAATGTAAAAAAAAAATCAAAATGCACTTACAATAAAAAGAAATGTTTACCAGGGTTCCCTCTGTCGCTCGCCAATGGCGCCAAATGCGACAAAATATTTATTCTGGCGCATAAAATCTTTATGGCGAATTTTACTGGTGCCAACGTAAGATAAAAGCATCCTACAACTATTACACTCAAATATCATAAGCGGTCGTGTCAATTACATAAGCGGCCCAAAGGTGAAAGGTCACCCGTGATTAGTTTGTTTATCAAACTGTATCATCAATTATGTTATCAACTGTGTGACACTTCTGATTGACGAATTTGGTGGCGCAAACTAATAATGACCCAGAGGGAAGTCCCGAACCCTAGTTACTGGTATAAAGTACAGTAAAAACCCGCTTTACGACCACCCCGTTTTCGAGACCAACCCGCTAATACGAACGATTTTTCAAAGACCCGATTTTTTTATTCTTTATTTTAATGGTCGCTAACCCCGATTTTGAGACCACCCCGTTATTCCGTAATACGACCAGTAAATTCAGTCCCATTTCGTAAATCCTGTAGATTTGGAAACCCAGGCTTCGCGAAAGTTGCCGGACCGTCGGACATGTCCGGCAAAAATCAGGCCGGTCCGATATTTTTTTTCGGAGTTCCGGACCTTATGTCCGGTACGAATACCGGAATATATCCAAGACCGATCAAGACTGAGTTTTCTACCTTGAATAAAAAAATGTAAAACGAGTTTAGATTCGCCGTTTCATTATAAGTGTCCGATACATGTATACGACTGTCAATAACCAAAATGTCGGTGTTACTACATTATTACGCTGGCGCTACGCCCGGCAAAAATCGTAAACTATCCAATGAAGAAAAAAAAGCGAAGCAAAAGGAATACGAGTCCAGGCGCCCGCCGAGAAAATTTGTGGGTAAATGGAAAAATGGCCGCTTTGATCATGAATGTTTTGATTTCCAAACAGAGTCCATCCACAGGTGCTTGAAACAAACTTTTTAAAGTTTTATATGGGCTATATACTATATATCTTTATATACAAATATAGACTGGTTATGTAAAATATTTGAATATATGTGACTAGCGCCTGTGAGTCCATCAATCTGGATAAACTAATGTTTTATTTAAGGGAATAAAGTTGTGTTGCAAATCTTTAAAAGTTGTTATGTCTTTAAAAAAAAACACCAAGGTATTACCATATACATATATTTGGGGAAAAAAATTCGGTCAGACAAAAGTTCTTTCGGTCAGACAAGAATTGAAAGTTTGTCTGACCGAATGTCAGGCAAATTTTTCAGCAGTTTCGCGAAGCCTGGAAACCCATAAATACGACCGCGGGCACTTTCTCACCTTGATATTGACAGGCATGTATATTGCTGAAATCTTTTTGACACATAGTGTAAACAACAGTTGTCCTAGTTTTACGACATTTAACGACATCCAATTTACGGCAGAGGTCAAGGTTACTTTGTATCAAACCCGGAAATGATCAATAATAATGTCGATAATTTCTTAAATTCACAACTTTAATGTCATAACTGGTGGATTAAAACAACAAAACATTGAACAGAAAACTTTCAATAAGTTTTTTAGAGGTGTTGCTTCTATCAGTATCTCTTTCGTTCCATAATTTTAAACAAACATAAACCTGATACGATTAGGTTTTTGAAGTTGTTATCGGCGATGAAAACTGTGAAAATAATTAAAGGTTAATTGGTCGATGTGCTTTGTAGTAAAATTGTGATTTTATTGAGTAAGTCATGTCATTCTTTTAACAAGAATGTAAAAAATATGTTTGTATTTAAAGACATGCATAATACATTTTTACCTCAAAAGAAGTAAAGAAATAATGTTAAAAAGTAAATAAAATAAATGAAAATAAAAAAATGATAGTGTATGCTTAATATCTTCTCATTTGAAAAAAGTTAGCCCAGAATTAAACATGTGTACAGTACATGGTATCCCTTAATATATTGCCTGGTTTTCTGTTTGACCAAACTCATTAATGAGACCAACCCACTATTAAGACCAGATTTGTAAAGTCCCTTCATTGGTCTCATTAGCGAGTTTTTACTGTATATATAAAATGTACTTGTATGAAATATAAAAACTGTTGTTGTTTTTTTATTCCAGATATAAATGAATTGAATTTACCCAAAACATGTCAAGTAGATTTCCCAGACCCTGATGATCTTCTAAATTTCAAGCTTGTGATAAGCCCAGATGAGGTAGGTACAAGTACAGTTGGTATAAAAATTGATAAGGTACAATGTAAGACAAACTGGTCTAATAAGACACAATACAAACACATACCCGTTGCAAAATGTAGGCTAGGCTAGTACAATCTGACAAGGTTTACTTCTATTGGCTGCACAGTGTTATTATTCTGATAATTGATAAATCCTTAACCTACAGAATTTCTTAATTAGAATTGTCCCATTTCCAGACACACAGTTCCTTCATTCTTTTCTCATTCTTGTGTCACAAGATATACACATTGTTATCAGTTATTGCCAAAATATAAAGATGAATTTTAGTTTTATAGAACTTTTTAAAATTTTGAAAGCAATTAGCATAAATAAAGTGATATCATTGGCTACTGGGCAAACCATTCAAGTAAAGTATATTATGTGTTTTAAAGTACCTAGACTGAGTCTACTGAAACCATTAGGAACATACTTTTTGGCAGGGTCTATATGATAGGAAATGTAGCTAGCATTTTGCTTTTCTAAGAGACATACACACATTGATTATTTATATATAAGAAAAAATGTAACTATAAATGAGTGATCAATCAAGCAGTTGTTAAGCTTACACCAGAACAAAGAGCTGTAAAGAATAGAACTGGTTCTGTGGAACCATAATACTTTAAGGACAACAGTAACTATATTCCTCTGAGTCCGAACACATTTATTGCTCAAACTGTAATAGGATTGCATTATTTTAGATGTGCACTCCTGTTAGCAACACATTCAGTTAACTGTTGAAGCTGCTGTGGGAATGTAGGACTATTTCACAGATTTTGTGTGATTTCTAAAACAATGGGAAAAACTTTGAACCAAACGAAAAATGTAGCTGATTTAGAGATTATTGAGATGTAAGGAGTGTGAAGAGAATAATGCAAACATACTGTTTTTACCCTGTAGTCACCTGAGGATAAGTGAAAGGTGTGCACAAAACATTCAAAGTTGTCCACTTTGTGGGAGAATAATAATTGAAAAAAGTAAAACTGACCTGTTCTAAAAACTAGAAAAGAAAAGTAATCTTAAAATCAAAGATAAAAGAAAAATTATAGACTAAAGAAATCTGAATTCCAGTATCAGTCAGGTTAATGAATCGGGATGTGAACAAACAGTGTTGTACCCATTGGCTAAAAGGCAGTCTTTCTGACCACTGCACCTTAATAAATGTCAGTGTTCCATGGGTGATCCTTAAAGTTTGTCAAAGTTGTTCAAAATCCTTTCCATGATGAATTTAAGTTGCCATGGCAACCAAAATATTTGTTGAAACATGACAGTGATACGGCTGAGACATTTTCCTAATATAACAAAATTCAATGAAAATGATTGTTCATCTTTTATTAAGATATTGATATAGCTAATTTGAAATGATTCTTAGTTGACTGTTTACCAAAATAGTTGAAATTATTGGGATTCATCAAAACAAGGCGTTTCATGATAGGATTGTGTTTACCAGTATGTACATAGAGAAATTTTCAAATCTTCCTAATGTACATGTAAACACAGGTGAGTAATACAGGGTCATTGCTAGCTTGTTATGATATAAGACTACAAACCTAAACAGCATCGTCAAATTGTAATACTTGGTAAACCCTGAATCCCAGTGACCTTCAGATGAAAGGTCAAAGGTCAGACAATTTTAGGGTTATAGAAATTTGTATGAATTTTGTCTGTTTCAGGGGTTTTATAGAGGCGGCAGATTTGTTTTTAACTTCAAAGTTGGCCAAGGGTATCCACATGATGCTCCGAAGGTGAAATGTGAGACAATGGTGTACCATCCCAACATAGATTTGGAAGGAAATGTTTGCCTCAATATTTTAAGGTACCATGACAACAAGGAATTACATGTACAGCTACATATGTCCCTACATTGTTTAGGTCTATCAGCTTTAGCTGGAATTTATGCCTTCAAAAAAAAATGATGGTCATTTACTTAAAGCCTGTCTACTTTTTGTTGATTTTAGTGATTCTTGCTGAGAAAATAGTTTTTTGTGTGCTTTTTTTAGCTCACCAGAGCACAACATGCTCAAGTTGAGCTATTTTCATCTCCATCTTAGATTCAAAATTTTCTTCAGACTGTATAGCTGGGAAGTCGCCATATGACCTTTATACTATTGATAATACTTGAAACTTAACTGGAAAAAAACAAAAAGAAACATCAATTAAAGAAATAGTTAATGTATAAACTACTAGAATCATATTCAAAGAGTAGTGATCTGCATGAAATATTAAAAGCACAATATTCATGTTACACGTGGTTTAAATTTCAGGATTAGATAGTTTAAAATATAATGTTTTATATTTTATATTATTTTATTGTTTCGCTAGTTTCTTTGAGAAAGTAATAAATTATGTATATTTTAATAGTTGTTCAAAGTAATACTAAGTTATTCGACTTATTTATTTTTCAAGATTTGTTCATTTGTTTCATATGGAACAAATTGATGAAATGTTGAGCTTCCGCAGTTTCTTTGTTAATCTAATGCTCGCTAAAGTGGATAGTGAAGTGTAATATATTGCATTTACTTCAATGATCATTTCAGAGAAGACTGGAAACCAGTTTTGACAGTAAATTCAATAGTGTACGGATTGCAGTATTTATTTCTGGTAAGTAAAAGCCATTCAATTTATTTATACTATGCATTCTAGCAACAGAATGATTTACCTATGCTAACAGTATAGAGACAGGCCAGCCTGCACTTTTGTATGGGAAACAGACAAAAGCGCTCTCAGACAATAGCTTTTTCGTCCAAAAATGTGAAGACAGACAAAAGCCCTCCCGTGAAAATGACAAAGCAGACAACAGTCCTCCTGTGAAAATGGCTTGGCAGACAAAAGCCCTCTCATGAAATTAACACTGTGGCTTTTGTCCACCTTGCCGTTTTTGGACGGGAGGGCTTTTGTCCAGGAAGGCTTTTGTCTTACACTCCTTTTCAGGGTTCGCACAGGTCTTGAAAAGTGCTTGAAAACGATCTGTGTCTTGAAAAGTGCTTGAATTCAGTGTGTCCTTGAAAAAGTCATTGAAAAGTCCTTATTTTAGAAAAAAAATCCTTGAAGATTGCTAATTCTCTTAGAAATAACACTCATCATTAAAAAAAATCAAATATTTAAACAGTTTTTAATAAGGAACGGATCGGATATATCACAGAAGATTTTTATTTACTTCCGCGAAATAGTTATGAAAATATATGAGTACGAAATGAAGCCCGCCCACATGTGTTAAACGTCATCGGGATTCGTGTTCGTGTGTATAACGGTCCCGTGTATAACGTCATCGCTTTCACTTTAACAGTTTTCGCGAGTAGAAAAAGCATTCCCAACAAAAATAAATCAACCATCTGCTGTCTTTTTCGTCGGTGTTTCGCTCTTTCTCAAGTTTCTTTGTATTTATTGTGAGCGTTTAGACGTATACATTCTCAAGTGTTGGAATATTTTGTTCCTGAAGTTTTACGATATTGCCAATTCGTAATAAAAATGGGTAAACGTCGATTTCAATTGAAATGGCTGAAAGATTATAGTTACAGGTACAGAAATCAAGTGGTATTAGAAAGACGCATTGCCGAGTTCGTATGAAAAATATTGAAATCGGTGGTATGGGAGAGAGCGCCCTGAAAAGTCACGAAAAAGGTGAAAGTCACAAAGAAAATTTAAAAATACAACAGAAACAGGGATCGTGTAATTTGTTTTTTGTTAAACAAGAAGGGATTTTTAAAATTGAGGCTAAAAAGACTAATTCTGACTCAAATAACAATGTAATAAATGATAATAAGGTTGCCTCTATGTCAAAGCCTAAAGAAAACAATGCCAGTGGTTTGTCTTTGTGACTCAAAGTATTATATTAAGGAAGGGTTCCAAAGATAAGAAAAAAGAAATTGAAGAACTTGAACTGCAGGTAATAAAAGCAAAAGTTGATTTAAGAAGTTAAAGTATTTACATCAAATTGTTAAACAACATGTATTTTTCAAAGAATGTTGTGGCTTAAGTATATTAACAATGATAATAAATGATGTTAAATCTTTATAATCTTTGCTTCAAGTTGAATCTTGCAGGAAACAATGCGCGAAAATTGTCCTTGAAAATGCAAAATTGGTCTTGAAAAAGCCCTTGAAAAGTGCTTAAATTAAGACTACATGATTCTGTTTGAACCCTGCTTTTGTACATTCTGACCAACTCTATACCATTGTCTGCTCAGTCTTTACATGTTTTAGTTCAGTTAAATCCCCTTAACTAACTGTGGACCATTCCAAATTCAAAGCAGAACATGTCCATCATACAAATCTTGTATAGTAAATGTTTAAACACTTGAATTGTTAAAGTGAAATTGTAAGATATGTGTGGTCAATTTTTAGTATGTACAGTTGTATTTGGATTCTCTAATCCAATTTTTAGCTCCCCTGTCACAAAGTGACAGGGTGAGCTTTTGTGATCGCTTTTCGTCCGGCGTGTGTCCAGCGTCCGTCTGTCCGTCCGTAAACTAACTTTAAATGACATCTCCTCATAAACCACTAAGCCAATTTCATCCAAACTTTACAGGAATGTTCCTTTGATGGTCACCTTTAAAAATTGTTCAAAGAATTTAATTCCATGCAGAACTCTGGTTGCCATGGCAACCGAAAGAAAAAACTTTAAATATCTTCTTTTAAAAAACCATAAGAGCTAGAGCTTAGATATTTGGCATGAAACATCTTCTAGTGAGTGTCTACCAAGTTTTTACAAATAAAAGCCCTGGGGTCAAAATTGGCCCCGCCCCGGGGGGTCATTGATTTTCCCTATATGCATATAGTAAAAACTTAAAAAATCTTCTTTTAAAGAACCCAAAGAGCTAGAGCTAAGATATTTAGCATGAAATATGTTCTAATGGGTGTCTACCAAGTTTGTTCAAATAAAAGCCCTGGGGTCAAAATTGCCCCCGCCCCGGGGGGTCATTGATTTTCCCTATATGCATATAGTAAAAACTTAAAAAATCTTCTTTTAAAGAACCCAAAGAGTTAGAGCTAAGATATTTAGCATGAAATATGTTCTAATGGGTGTCTACCAAGTTTGTTCAAATAAAAGCCCTGGGGTCAAAATTGGCCCCGCCCCGGGGGGTCATTGATTTTCCCTATATGCATATAGTAAAAACTTAAAAAATCTTCTTTTAAAGAACTCAAAGAGCTATGGCTAAGATATTGAGCATCAAACATGTTCTAATAGGTGTCTACCAAGTTTGTTCAAATAAAAGCCCTGGGGTCAAAATTGGCCCCGCCCAAGGGGGTCATTGATTTTCCCTATATGCATATAGTAAAAACTTAAAAAATCTTCTTTTAAAGAACCCAAAGAGCTAGAGCTAAGATATTTAGCATGAAATATGTTCTAATGGGTGTCTACCAAGTTTGTTCAAATAAAAGCCCTGGGGTCAAAATTGCCCCCGCCCCGGGGGGTCATTGATTTTCCCTATATGCATATAGTAAAAACTTAAAAAATCTTCTTTTAAAGAACCCAAAGAGTTAGAGCTAAGATATTTAGCATGAAATATGTTCCAATGAGTGTCTACCAAGTTTGTTCAAATAAAAGCCCTGGGGTCAAAATTGGCCCCGCCCCGGGGGGTAATTGATTTTCCCTATATGCATATAGTAAAAACTTAAAAAATCTTCTTTTAAAGAACTCAAAGAGCTATGGCTAAGATATTGAGCATCAAACATGTTCTAATAGGTGTCTACCAAGTTTGTTCAAATAAAAGCCCTGGGGTCAAAATTGGCCCCGCCCAAGGGGGTCATTGATTTTCCCTATATGCATATAGTAAAAACTTAAAAAATCTTCTTTTAAAGAACCAAAAGAGTTAGAGCTAAGATATTTAGCATGAAACATATTCTAATAAGTGTCTACCAAGTTTGTTCAAATAAAAGCCCTGGGGTCAAAATTGGCACCGCCCAGGGGGTCATTGATTTTCCCTATATGCAATAGTAAAAACTTAAAAATCTTCTTTTAAAGAACTCAAAGAGCTATGGCTAAGATATTTAGCATCAAACATGTTCTAATAGGTGTCTACCAAGTTTGTTCAAATAAAAGCCCTGGGGTCAAAATTGGCACCGTCCTGGGGGTCATTGACTTTCCTTATATGTGTATAGCAAAAACTTAAAAAATCTTCTTTGAAAAAACCCAAATAGCTAGAGTTAAGATATTAAGCATGAAACATCTTTAAGTGAGTGTCTACAAAGTTTGTTCAAATAAAAGACCTGGGGTCAAAATTGGCCCCGCCCCGGGGGTCATTGATTTTCTTTATATGTGTATAGCAAAAACTTAAAATCTTCTTTGAAAAAACCCAAATAGCTAGAGTTTAAATATTAAGCATGAAACATCTTCTAGTAAGTGTCTACAAAGTTTGTTCAATAAAAGCCCTGGCCCGGCCCCAGGGGTGTCTTTGTTTTTAACTATGTGTGTATAGTAAAAACTTTAAAAAAATCTACTTTTAAAAAGCCCAATGAGCTAGAGCTTAGATGTTTAGCATGAAACATCTTCTTATGGGTGTCTACCAAGTTTGTGCAAATAAAAGCCCTTGGGTTAAATTGGCCCTGCAACGTTGGGGGGTGGGGGTTGGGGGGGCCTACATACAGGTGAGCGACCTCAGGGCCATCATGGCCCTCTTGTTTAAATAAGTCAGAACACAATATATAATGGAGATGGATTGTATATGACGCTATGGTCCGAAAGCTGCACATAATTTTATTGATGGAAATTTTCTTATTGTGGTACTTTATTTTGTCATCCATTTTTATATGCCCGAAAGGGCATATTATGTTATACCCCCTGGCGTCCGTCTGTCTGTACGTCCGTCCGTCCGTAAGCAATTTGGTTTCCGGAGCATAACTTAAGTTCCATTTGGCCCACAATGTTCAAACTTCATAGGATGATTGTCCATATTGGGTACAAGTACCCTATTGATTTTGGGGTCAAAGGTCAAGGTCACTATGACCTTAAAACTGAAAACAGTTTCCGGAGCATAACTTAAGTTCCATTCGACCCACAATGTTGAAACATCATAGGATGATTGTCCATCTTGGGTAGAAGACCCCTATTGATTTTGGGGTCACAAGGTCAAAGGTCAAGGTCACTATTACCTTGATACTGAAAACAGTTTCCGGAGCATAACTTAAGTTCCAATTGACCCACAATGTTCAAACTTCATAGGATGATTGTCCATATTGGGTAGAAGACCCCTATTGATTTTGGGGTCACAAGGTCAAAGTTCAAAGTCACTTTTACCTTAATACTGAAAACAGTTTCTAGAGCATAATTAAAGTTCCAATTGGCCCACAATATTCAAACTTCTTAGGATGATTGTCCATATAAGGTAGGAGACCCCTATAGATTTTGGGGTCACAAGGTCAAAGGTTAAGGTCATTATTAATAACTTAAGTATTAATCAACCTACAGCTGTAAAATTTTATAGGATGAACAGCGAATTCCCATGTCTTACAAATGCTTCATCCTTACTAAAAAAAAAAAAACACTTTCGGGCATATAATGCTCCGCCTAGCGGTGCTCTTGTAACTCTTATCCCGCTAAGTACATGTTATTGTTCATCTGTGCTGTTCTACAGAAATAAGAAACTTCGACAGGAGCGATAGCGACAGGAGAATGTTTCTAATTTTTGTAGAACAGCTACGGATGAAAACTAACTTACTTAGTGTCAAGCTTTATTTGGCCTCATTATTGTTCGCTTAATTACGTCACTATGAAAATTAACACACACAGTTTTTAAGAAATACAGCGTTTTCATTGGATGACAAATAAAGCTGGACACTAAATATCTTATATGGACTTGTTCATTTTTCAATCATCATTTATGTGGACAATTTTCAAAATAAGTACTGACTGAATAGCATATATTACAGACCATGATCAGTCGGCACAGATGTGCTGGCTGATCTTGGTCTGCAGAGGTTGCATGGATAAATTCATTACCTTCCAGCAGACTGAGGGTATAATTATACATGTCACTTATTCACATTATAATGAAACAACAAAACTTTATCATAAATTCAGTCACTGTCAGATATCCATGGCCGAACCATTAACATTTATTAGCTGTGTAATTTTTGGCCAATATCCAGTCAATTAGAGATGTGTCAATTTCAAAGACAGCTATTTCATTGGTTGCCTTAAGATTTCATGAGGCAAACTCATTTGGCGATTAAAACCAATCAAATTGTTCTATTTGACGATCAGTATGACAGACAAAATTGAGGCAACCAATTAAATTCAGTTGTGTAAAATTCACAATAAAGATGTGAACGTTTTCCCGCAAAAAGGGTATAAAATTTACTGTTACCTTCGCCATTGAAAAATATGAATTTTGTTAAACGCAATTTCATTGGTCAATATTTTACGCACCTGTTGCCTATCAATGCAAATGGATTCATTTTACCCACAACTTGATAACATGTTAATCAACCATGGGTACATGCATCCAATGATGAAAACTAGTGAACTAAATTACAGTTTTCCAATAAAGTTTAACAATATTTGTACAAAATGTAAGTTGATTAAGATATTGAACAGAACTTAAACATTGCTAGGTGCATCATTTGTAAAAACAACATAATTATGAGTATTTATTTGGTATTGGTGTTTTACAGGAGCCAAATCCAGAGGATCCATTGAATAAAGAGGCAGCAGAGGTTCTTCAAAACAATAGACGATTATTTGAACAAAATGTTGCAAAATCTATGCGCGGGGGCTATATAGGATCTGTTTACTTTGACCGATGTTTAAAATGAAACATTTAGATTTTTTGCACACTGATTGATCTTTTTTTTCTGAATAGTTTTGAGTGAAAGAGTCCTGAAAGAAGTGCTTGACAGTTTAAGGTACACAAGTGCAAACGTAATTGATAATTCAGGTGTCTGTAAACAGTGCTTGATAGCAACAACGTATTGTCATTGTTTAATATTTTGAATTGGTGTTTAAAAGCCCTATATCTCTTGTGTTTGATGTACAGTTCTATTATTTAATGCTTACTTTGTGTTTAAAATATGCCAGTGCTAGATCAATGTCATGTCATTAGTGATGATGGCATATTACAGTTGATGATGTCATGTTACTAGTGATGATGTCATATTGCAGTTGATGATGTCATGACACTAAAGATGATGTCATACTCATATTACAGCTGATGATGTCATGACACTAGTGATGATGTCATATTGCAGCTGATGATGTCATGTCACTAGTGATGATGGCATATTACAGTTGATGATGTCATGTTACTAGTGATGATGTCATATTGCAGTTGATGATGTCATGACACTAAAGATGATGTCATACTCATATTACAGTTGATGATGTCATGTCACTAGTGATGATGTCATATTACAGCCTATGATGTCAAGTCAATTTCAGGATTTTATTTTCACCTATAAAATAAAATGTTAATAATTTAATCATTTTTTGAGTTAACTTGAAAGAACTTAGTATGATATTTTATTTAAAGCTAAAATGAAATCAAGTTTATATTAGATCTCTATTTCTTAAATATTTTGGACAAATGTATTAATACAACTTTTAAGTTATATGGCAATTCCTATCTTTTATAATTTTATGTCAGTTGTGATGTCATGACATTAGTGATGATGTCATTTTGTTTGAATTTTCAATTCTTCTTCTTGTTCAGACACCTGTTATAAAGTAGGTGTTTAAATATAAAATGTTGATTACGTTGTCAATTACATGTCAATTTGAAAGACCTTATATCTAGTGTTAATTAAATAAATGTGGGGTCTTAATGTCAATTACATGTCAAGTTGAAGGACTCTATATTGTTACAGCTTAGATTGAATTTAATAATTTTGTGGTATTTATGTCAATTACATGTCAATTAAATAATTATTTGAAGGACTCTATATTGTAACAACCTAGATTTGGGGATCTTGAGTATATTTGTTGTTTTAAATTTATTGTGTCTTGTTTCGGATAACATCTGTAAGTTTTGCATTTGGATAAGAGCATAGCTTGCCTCCTAGGGGAGCATTGTTGTGCATATTGAGAGTGTTTTGTATTATTTATAAGTCAGGAAAATGAGAGTAGATGTATTCTACACCTTGATAATTCTTATTTTAGACAAAACAAGGAAATAAAGTTCATGTAGCAATATTTTGTAAATTTAATGGACTATTAATTAAAACAGTTTTTTTTTTTCTCACAATTTTCTTCATGCAATTTAATCATTTTCAGGACAGGGTTGTCTGTAAACCAAAGGTGGCCTTTTATCAGGACTACTGCTATGAAAAAATTAAAGCATACCTTTTTTTCGTGTTGGAAAATTTTGACTTACCGTACATAACAATTTTGTAATTTTTTTCTTTTTTCGAATTACTGATTGAAAACTCAATTATTTAGATTGTTAATAAGTATAACATTGATACCTGTACTGAAATAAACATCTTATATAAATATCTTGTCACTGTTGCTTTGTTCTATGTTGCTACACAATGAACTCTTATACCACCCGAAATATATTAAATGGACTTGTCCATCTTTCATTCTGGACATAACCATTCATCATATTTAGGGAAATTTTTCAGCATACGTGTATGTAGTGACTGAATAGTGAACAGTGCTGATCAGCCAGGACAGATGTGCCAGCTGATTTTGGTATACACTGGTCATATGGGTAGAATCTGTTGTGAAAATGCTAAATAAATTTTAATATTTATGCTCTTCCACCATGATAATGGCAAGGGGCATTGTAGTGTTACCCCTGTTTGTCTGTCCTTGAGCATGAGTGTCCAAAACGCTTGTCCAGCCCATAACTGTCATGCATCAGGGATTTTGAAACTTATTGGCACAAATGTTGAGCATGATTAGATGGTGTGTCATTGCAAGAACTAGACCCTTAGCTCCAAGGTCAAAATCACAGAGGTCAAAAGACAGCAGTTATATAAATATTGTTCCACCATAACTTTGTCATGCATCAAGGGATTTTAAAATAGCTAGGCACAAATGTTAAACATGACGAGACAGTGTGTCATGCCCAGTGTCTAGACCCATTGCTCTTATGGTCACACTTGGAGGTCAAAGGTCAGGAGCTAGAAAAACATGTCCGGTCCATAACTCTTGTCATGCATCAAGGGATTTTGAAGTCATTTGCAAAATTTTGAAGTGTGTAGCATATTGAAACGATGTGTCACAAACAAGACCTAGACCCCTAGCTCCAAGATTGATGTCAAAGCTCAGCAATTAAAAATCTGTGTCAGGACCTAAAGGTCAGCAGAAAATCTTGTCTGATCCATGACTGTCATGCATCAAAGGATTTTGAAGTTTGTTGACAAAGTGTTTGGCATAATGAGTCCTTGGTATCCTAGCAATCGTGATAATCAATGCTTTACTTTTACAATAAAAATGATTGTTACTTATGTTAAAGCCTATTAAACCTTTTTCCCAGGTTTATACCCCAGGACAGACTTAAGTGAGGAATTTGTGCTCTCTCAAAGAATTGGGCCATGTGAATATTAAAAAAAACTGTTTTTAACAACAGCGATCATTCTTACTTTCAAACATCTTTTAATGCAAAACAAAAAGAATATGAAATACCAACTATGCTCACCTGTCATAATGTCTATTCATATTATTTGGTGCTCTTATTCATATTATTTGGTGTTCTTACATATACTGCAGGGCATCTGTGTCTCTCGGACATATTTCTAGTTCAACTGTTATTGCAGATTGAAGGATTGGTGCTATTTTGAATCTGTACTGCATTATAATGTGATTTTCCATTAGCAATAAAGGTAAACAAGATCTGTTGGTTCAAGTCTGAGACTCCAAGAATGTTTGAAGCCATTTGTGTGGGGAAAAAAACTAGCCAGTAAGCTTGTGGAAGGTTGTAGGTTGATCTACCCCAGTAATTTGCTCCTGCATCATACGATTTTGATGGGTACTAGTACCTTTGACCATTCTCTTCCAGAAAAGCTTGAAAACTGCCATTTGACCTTGCCATTTATGGTGTGGCTTGAAATCTTACATGTGGATTTATGTAAAAACTTTTCTATCTCCTCTTTGGAATTTCAATAGTAAGTCATTAAAATATGAAAACACAGATCTACAAGGAAGTGTGGTGTACTGTTCTAAATAGCACCAGACCGTTAAACGGATTGTTTGATAACACAGATCCGAAGGATATAAGTTTCTAGCTGTAGAGGTGTATTATAAGAACTGACTGCAAGTATCAGAGAGGCAGATCATGCAGTTTACATAGAAGGCGGGTCTTATCATTACTGACAGCAGCATACTACAGGTAGCATGCAAATGAATGCATCCCCAAACAGAAATCAGCATTACACCACCATTGGCAATGACCACACTGTCTAGAAGTAGGCTTAGACCACTTTGCCAGCTCTTTTAAGTTGAGAATATGTTTTGGATGTTTACCAAAAAAACATTTTCTACACTGATGGTCATTAATGACTAATATGTCCCACATACTGATATAACTGCTTGGTATACGTGTGTCTGATAAGGCCAGACGTTTAGCTCAATAGATAAAGCATTCGACTGTGAATCGGGCAACTCAGGTTTGATTCCCAGATGGTGCAGTTCACTTTCATTGTAACTGATCATGAAATCATTTCTATGGTCATTCGCACTGTATAGATCTCTGCTCTGGGATGATATACAGAAGTACCGGTAAACTGCTTGATGTCCTGCCCAGGAATGATGCAATGGCTGAACTGAGCTCTGCCCTGAGCGGAAACTACCAGTACCACCATAACATTTGGTAACAAGTAAGTCACAGACATTCAGATAACTCCTGACAAGCATGATACATGTATATTCGATAATTGTATAATATAGTTGGACCTGTACGTACATAAATGCTTATCATTATCTTTTATTGATTATTCTCAGTTTTTTTTTCTGACCACCTTAAGCGCGATATATGTACGTATTGGTCTCATAACGCAATCCGAAAACCAGAACAGTCAAACGAATATGCCCAATGACAAATAGTGTTGGTTCCCGGTAATTTGCGGTAAAATTGATACTATTGAATGATTTGTATTAAGCCAAGAACCATCCCATTAATTTTCTGACAATAAAAGTTAATTTGTTAAAGTTTTTCGGGAAAATGGCTGGTGTAGTTTTAGAGACGTTGAGCTGGAAAAAGTTGATTATTTTAGGATTACTTTTGTTATTCCTGCTGATATCGTTTTTCCTGATTGGTGGATTAATAGGTACGTGCACTTTATTTACGTAAATTACCCCGTTTGGCTCCGAGTATAAACGTACCCAATGAACTTGGTGTTATGCTTTATAATAAAACAATGAAGGGTAAAAGTACGATAAGTCCATCAATTTATTAAAATGACGCTATTGACAAAATAAATTTTGACAGCTGAATAGTGGAATAACTTGTAAAGTTCAACAGTTCAACACTGCTGAAATTATTAAATGAGTTACATACATGCTGTAGTGTTGAGTCAATGTTTAGGATAGGCACATTTTATATACATGTGACCAAAAAGACTCGCAAGAAAGTACTATTCAAAATATATTGAGGTGCCAAAGCTAGATTCTGAGATATAGATTTTGCTGATTTGTTCTGGTCAGAAGAGAGAAGCAAAAATATCTCAAAGCGACGTCATATTTATAGGACTAAGAAGAGAGGAGATATATTGCCCATACTCAAATTGCACAATATCTCGTCACATACCGGTAGTACAATTTATTACATGTAGTTGGACTAAAGAAAGTATATTAATTTGTGTCTGATTTAGGCAAAACAAAAAAAGTAATTTTAGTTCAAAGCCTGAAATCAGGTACGTATATTAATATGTATACGTACCTGATTTCAGGCTTTGAACTAAAATTACTTTTTAAATTGCTTTTTTTGTCTCCAAACTATGATACAATTATGACTTAAAGCGAGGATTTTAGTCAAGCATGTTTACTTTTAAGAGATTAATCGACGCGTTGACTACAGTAAAGAATGTACTTTGTCATCTCAAGACGTCGAGAAAAAAATAGCGTTTGGTTGCAGTTAAATAACATCAATTGAAATAGTTTACAAAATTTTGATAATAATCCTTTTTTGTTTCATTAAGTTTAATTTTTAAATTGAAAAAAAAAACAACAAAAAAAAAAGACCGAAAATAATTATTGTTGGGCTCTGATAATTGCGTCAATTACCGTCGGTATAGAAGTTTGTCCATCGTCCATCATTAAGGAAAGTTTGCATTATTAAATTATTTTTCCTTTTCACCGTTTTTTCTAATATTCTTTTTATTTATTTATTTATTCCCCTCCGATCATTATTTATTCGATCCATGTGCTTAATTAACAGATTGAACAATTCATCTTTCATACAAATCATATATGCATGAAAATTAAGGACGTTATAACATGCAACTTTGACACTTAATTTTATTAAGATAGATTATACAACGCTTACTCGTATTCATTTTTTTTTTTTCAAAATGCGGAGCATCTTTATTAAAGTGAACAAACTAGGACAAATGCGGAGATTTGATTAAAATCGTCGTTTAAAGACACAAAATAACATGCATTTTCGACTTCCATATATTTTTGAAAAGTGCCGTACGGCTAGCCAATACAGTGTGTCCAGGCTAGTCGTACGTGACTCACGCATGGCTAGAACTTTTGGCTAGCCGTACAGGCCCCTACGGCTAGCCACTTCCAATAATCAATCCTGATATGGCTATTAAAAATGGAAATAAATGTGTTAACTTTTCTTAAAAATATCTAAAAAATGGGAGTGAAATGTCCATACAATTGACAAATTGGGAGTGAAACATCTAGGTGTGAACCGTCTTGGGAGTGAAACGTCTCAATAGTGAAATGTCTTGGGAGTGAAACGTCTGACATTCCTGAAATTGAACATTTAAAATATTAATGAAGTGAATAATTTTAAGTAAACTAACAGATAATATTGAATAATTTATGAGCTGCACACACAATATCTAAATAAATGTATAAGACACAATTAAACCCTGGGATTTTTTTATGGCTAATTTTATAGCCAATATTCAATCGTATTCCCAATTGAAAATAGTAAATTATTTTCCCAATCAACAGGAAAAAATTCCCAATTGAAAAGTTACAAAATAAAAATATTGAATAACAAATTCTTAAATCTTAAAAAAATAAATGCTTCTCCACTGTTATGGTGTTTACCTGTTTGACGATGCCATCCTAGACAGTTATTCTTTGTATTCATTTAATCACATCAAAATTTAAGTGATCAATGCAATTTTTCCCAATTTTTAACAAAACATCGCTGAAATTCCCATTTCCGTGGGTAACGGTCATGTTCCCAAAATCTTGGGAGAAAAAACCTTGAAACCTATAGACTTGTTATTAGCTATTGGACAAGCAACTTTTGGCTAGATATTGTGGGAAGGGCCAATTAAGTTAATTGGTAAAACTTAAGTGGTCTTTTTATGAACAACTATAGCATCCATGTAAATACTGTAAATTTATTCGATAATGTTGTCTTGTGTTTGCATGTGACATTATATCAGTGTTTTGTATAGAAAGAAAAAAATAAAACAATAAAATATGATTTTTTTTTTCAATTTCAGGCCCGGAACTGGTGACCCCATTTATTGCCTCTGTCGCATGACTATTTAAGGGTCGGAGGTCCATCCCTTAACAGTCTTACAATAATGTGTTAAAACATGAAAAGTTAACATAGTATTAACCCTTTCACTGCCATAGGGACGGCTTATGCCGTCCCTGTTATTTTCGGCGTATTTGCCATATGGACGGCTTTAGCCGTTTCTATAATAATAATAGTAATAATAATAAATTGATAATAATAATAATAAAAATAATAATAAATATAAAGAAAATTATACCATCGACAATAATTATTATTATACTCACAGATTTGGAAACATATATAATTATTATAATACTAATAACAAATAATAATAATTATATTAATTAATAATATAGTAATTTCTTAGAAAACCCTCTGGCAAATAGGTGATCAATAAAACAATAACCCTCTGGCAGCGAAAGGGTTAACATAAATTAAATTACAGCAAACATTTATTTGAAAAATTGAATATGTAAAGGAGGTTATAAGTTCAATACATAGAAAAATATTACTAGAGCGTTGTAGGGTATATGTGAACCGTCGGGTATTTTGGACCGCTTCTCATTATAACGTTTAGAAGTATAATTCCATTAAGTTTTTCAATTTGAAAAGAAAACAATCATCCCCTTTTCTGCTGGCTTCAACCTAGTGCCTGTACATTAAGTGAATATTATTAATTTTTGCAAGATGTGAAATTTAGGAGAATCGTGCCACTGTTTTATAATAAGCTTAAGAAAAAATACCGAATACTTAAATTCATAAAACCTGTTAATGATATATTTTGTAGAAGTAAACTATAAATTTAGCATGAAAAAAATCCCCTGATCAACATGTGAGCATATTTTAGTTGTTAATACTACTTGATTCATCATAAAATGTGGTTCCAAAACTCCCGACAACATTTTATTGATGTGGGGTGTTTTGGGACACGTGGATATCAAATGTTTATTATGTTATTTGATATTATAGAAACGTATCATGAACTCAGTGAAGGTGTGTTTGTATGTCAGATATGTTTTTTAAAAAACGGAACCAAAAACATCTTAATCCAAAATTATAGAAAGGGCAGAGAAAATGAGGATAAAACAAATTGACTCAGACTTAAAGTGGAAAAAAACTGAAAAGGGAACCTGACTCCTTAGAGATTATGACATATTAGTTTATTGTGATGACAATAATCTTGCAGATATGGATACTAGCATTGCACTTAAACTCCTGCAACATTCCTTTTCTTATTAAAAGTGCTATATAATATACATGACCATCACGTTTAAAGCATAGCACAATCTATGGTATCATAGTACAAAATGAAGACAAGGAAACGAGGAATTGCCGATTTGACGTTTATTGTCCAAGAATAGCGCTAATTAATGCACCTTTTCCATGCATTAACATCTGCAGAAGCCCTCAGACATTTTAAATCTCTCATTTGGCTGTGTCAGACTTTGATTGTGTCTTCTTGCCTCTGAAGATGTAAACGCATACAGAAAGGGGCATTAAACCCTCTTATAGTACTTAATCGAAATGAACAGATAGATAAGACCATTTGACCTCACATACTCTATAGATCTATAAAGCATCATAAAATAGTATTACAGTCGACTCCGGTTATAACGAACTCAATGGGACATCAAAATATCGTTCGTTATATCCGAAGTTCGCTACAAGCGAAGTAGCAACAACTTGTTGACTTGTTTGGGTGGGGAAATTTGCCGTGAAAAAGCCATACTTTTCACTGGTTACCGGTTTAACCGGTATTTTACTGCAGCGGTCATTAAATGGTTATTAAATGCGGGGCATTTTATTAAACAATATATTAAGTACAATGGTACATGTATTTATTCATGTAGTATTTGTCTATAAAGTATTCTTTTGCTATTTGTTTATTATCGTTTGGTTAATATTGCAAACGAAACAATCGATTATTTGGTAATTATCGGGTATTTAAAGCAATCAACTGAGAGTGCGAAATACAAACTTTCCTTAACAATTAGGAAATGATGTTGTGAGAACATTTCATAGCAATCTTTATTCCCTGAAGCCCTTACTAACCTGTGCAATCATCGATTGTATAATTATCGGAAAGTGTTATTCATGTACTGCTCCTAATCGAGCGCATCCCGATATTTTAATTATAACAGTTTGTTATAACCGAGGAAATTACCATGTTTTCCGTCATTTGGGGCTTGAAAAAAACGGTTCGTTATAGCCGAAAATTCGTTATAAGCGAGTACGTATTAAGCGATGTGATTTAATATAAGATAAAGAAGGAATCAGCCGGGGATGTCAGATTTAGTTCGCTATTAACGATAATTCGTTATAAGCGAGTTCGTTATAAGTGGAGTCGACTGTATATTTTATTTACACTTGTTATTTAAAAGAAAATTTCAATCAAATTGAACTATGCAAAATAAGATACTGCTCTATGTTTTGTTACAAAATTTTTACACTAAAATTAATGTGTCCCAAAATGCCCTTCTTTCTGTCCATAAATACCCGACGTGTCCCAAAACTGACTCCTCATGCTCTTCTGTTTAACAAGGTATATCACGTTTGTTTTGTACATATGCTTATGATAGTGGCCCATTATAGACGATAGTCAAACAGAGCTTAATGCCAATACAGAAAAAAGCATATTTAAAATCACAGTAACAAATATGCCTTAGATGTCCCAATATACCCGACATCGCTCTACATCTTCATTATGCCTCAAACAATAACATAATTACTTTTTTCTATATTTATGAGTAATACACAAACTAATGATACTAATGGCGTTAGCTAGGAGGCTTGACGATAGAATAAATAGACAGACGAAAAAGGATGATTATTTACAAAAGAAAACAACAATATAACACAACAAAAACATCAAAGACAGATACTTTGCGGCCAGGGCACGTTCAAAAATACTACAAAGTATTTTGATGATTCACATCTATCATTATCAGATTGGAACAAAACATTTGGATAGGTCTCCATTATATTATGATTAATGACATATAAATTTTGTATTTAAAATAGTACGTATGCCAGTCTTTTTTAAATTGGTGAAGATTTCTTCATTGGATAGCTTTTTCTTCATTTACCTTTAGAACATATGAAATATAATTTATAGCACCAGCAAAAGATAGCATTGTTTTATTAGTTTTACATTTGAAAATATACATTTTGACATATATTAAAGAACTAAATTGTTTACAATATTTATTGTATTGTTTCCTTTAGTGTAACCTAAAAGCATAGTTTCCTTATTCAAGTTTGGCATGTTTAGTTTATCTATACAAATTTCGCGTATTAGTTTATTGCTGTGAATGTATTCCCAAAAGATATGTTCTATAGTTTCATCATGAAGATTACAAAGGCTACATAAAGGACTGTTAATATATTTCATTTTGAACAAAAGATTATTTATACCCAAAATCCTATGGATAAGTCTTACTTGGAACCATTGTAAATAAGTATCTTTTGTCAATTTGAATGGTAAATTATATATATTCTTCCAGTATTCATCATCATTTGAGAGGCATAGTTTTTGTGACCATTTGACCTGACAAACGGGCTTGCTGGAATTAACATTAAGCGAATCATACATATATTTTGAGCCTTTTTGGTCTTTAATTATCCCTTTAATGTGTATTGGAATTGTTGGGAATTTTTCTCTCTTAAAAGTTAAAGGGTTGAAGCAGACATTTTGAAAAAAGGTTGTAACTGCTTTTTTAATTCCTAAATATAAAAGATGATTGATTTATATTGTAGATCTTGCCTAATTCTTCTGGTGTATAAAACTGGCCATTGTCTTGTAAGATATCATAAATACAACAAATTCCCTTATCATACCAAGATTTCCAAAAAATACTTTTATTGCCAATAGTAATGTTGTGATTGTAAAATAAAGGTAAGTTACAAAAGTCTTCTTTATCAAATTTCTGATGCTCAATAAACAATGAAAATGCATTTAAAGTGTGTTTCCAGAATTCATTTTTAATAGATTTTGACATTTTCTCAACATAATGCTTTCCACACGTGACTAATTTATGTACATCAATACCCTGTGTTAAAAAGCTTATCCAACAACCATCACTTGAAATAATTCTTCTTATCCATGTAAGTTTGAACGCATTCATAAAAGCATTTATATTTACCATTCTTAAACCCCCTTCCATGTTTAGACAATTTTAAATGAAAAAAAAACAACACAAAACAAATATGTAAATTTTAAGCCAGTTGGCTTCTATTTCTGTTATTTACAATGATTACTATGGACAAAAAAGGACAAAAAAACAACAACATTTCACAAAGCCCATCATGACAAAAATATAATCTTAGCCTGGTTGGATGAAAAGTTAACATGGTGCTAATCTCTACATGTCTTCTTAAACAGACTGTTCCAAACTGGGCAAATCAATTGCTCAAATTTAGAAGGTTAAACATTAAAACCAATACTGTATTATATTATTTGTAACCTCCGTCATTAGCATAATTTTCTTATTTTTTCAGCACCCAATCCTTCAAATGTAATCAATGTTCTTGGTACGATTTGTAAGAACGAGGGAGGTATAGGAAACAAAGAGTGGTTTATACCTAGAGGTGGTCACGAGAAATGTATACAGTATGATAATCTAGACGTTCCCGGGATCGAGGACGACAGAACTTCAGCTAACCAGGTAAATAACGAAGCTTCTTTTACATTGTCTTTATATCTTAAACCTCTTTGGTTTATACAGAAATAATTTTAGTTCAATTGTGTAGGAAGTTAAAGGCTTATAGACACACTTTCAAATCAGTTCCTAGCTGGAACCAACCAGTACTGAGCAATGAGTGTAAAGTTTCTTGCTCAAGGAAACAATGACTTGCCCCAATGGGGTTTATAAACCTGTGCGGCTAGTGATCAATAGATTACTAGTCTGACATGTTAACCACTAGGCCATGCCACCACTTAAACTTGGAGAAATATATCATTTACTAATGTAATGGTATTGAGCTGTTCACTAATTAGGGAAGATACAGTGTAGTGTGCAAGTGGCTTGGTCAGCAGAGCCTAGGTCGGTATCAGAGCCATTTCTCGGGTTTGAGTTCTGGTCAGGCAGCACATCTTTCTCATCCTTTCGTCTATGACTTTTGGACAGTAATGATATAATACTGTCCCAACTTCATATTGTTCTCTGTACCCGTTAGAAATTCTAGGACAAATTTCAAAGTAGTTAAGGAGTTTGCCACAGTATTGAACTGTAAACTAATTAGGGGAGATAGATTAGTGTGTAAGCAGCTGGATAGCTCAGTCTGTAGAGCTGTGGTACATATTATTTCAAGGGTCCCATGTTCAAGTCCTGGCCAGGCTGCACATTTTTCTCACCCTATGAAGTTTATAATACTTTATGAATATATAGAACATGCTGTACCAGTAGGTTGAGTTTTACATGTGTGGTCAGGGATGATGTAGACATTTTAAATGACATCTTCAGTAAATCAGTAATGGCTGAATATATTGATTAATTAATTACAATAAATGTACCAGTATGAGAAGGTCTATGATAAAAGGGTTACATGTATATGAAAATCTTGATCTAACCTTGCATTTGGCTATCTTATATTTTGAGACTGGATAACATTCAGCCCTTTGCACCTTATACAAATTGTAAAATAAGCCAAATGCATAATCCATAGCAATACCAGTACATGTATTATGAAAAAAGTATGAGGGAGTATTATATGAGCCGTGTCACGACAAAACCAACATAGTGTGTTTGCAACCAGCATGAATCCAGACCAGCCTGCGCATCCGCCCAGTCTGATCAGGATCCATGCTGTTCGCTTACCAACCCTATTACAAGTAGAGAAACTGATAGCAAACAGCATGGATCCTGATCCGACTGTGCAGATGCGCAGGCTGGTCTGGATCCATGCTGATCGCAAACGCACTATGTTGGTTTTGTCATGACACGGCTCAATTATATTATAAACATGTAATAAAAGGGTCTTGATCTGGACTTTCTAAGGCATACATGGAATATTGGGAAACCAAATGTGTAAGCCCCACTTACGTACATTACTTACTTTCTTACTTTTATTTTGCCCTCTGGATTATACAAAGGATGCAATATACAAGACTGGTTTTGCTGAAGCCAATTTATACAATTTTTGGATATCCAATTTATTTTTTACAGGGGGAGATGACTCATATAAGCCTTTTTACAAACTAAAATAATGAACAATTAAAAATTACAAAAAATTACATACAAATCTATAAAAAAGGGGTTAAACTGTTTTTTTAAAAAACAATTGTTTGGGCAAACAATTTTTTAAATTTTTAAATTTTCCTTATACAAAATTGAAAAACACCAAAAAAAAAAAAAAAAACAAAAAAAAAAAAAAAAAAAAAAAAAAAAAAAAAAAAAAAAAAAAAAAAAACCCACAAAACCCAACCACCCCCCCCAAAACAAAGGTTTTTAAAAAAAAAAAAAAAAAGAAAAAGAAAAAACCAAACCCGAAATCAGGTTTATCCCAGTACGAAACCATTGGGGTTTTTGATAAGGCCTTTTTTAAAAAAACATGAAAAAAGGCTGACGGTTTTTTTAAAGGCAAAAACATAATTTGGGAAAAAAATGTGTAAGTTTTTAAAACATTTTTACATTTTTGGGGAAAATAATTAAAATTTGGTTTGTTTTGCAAAACAGGTTGTTATTTGTGCAAATTTTCAGTTGATTAAGGGCTATTTTAGATTGAAAAATAAATTGTAAAACATCTTCTTAATAAATCTTCTTTCCTGTTTTACTGTATTTTTAGTCATGTATTTTTAAGGTTATTATACCCCCACCACAAAATGTGGGGGGAGGGGGCTATAATGGATTCGCTTTGTCGCGTCGGTCGGTCCGTCTCCATTTTCGTGTCCGCTCTATAACTCCTACACCACTTGAAGGATTTTCTTCAAACTTGGCTCAGATGTTCACCTCAGCAAGGGAATGTGCAGAACCTATGTTGCCCATGTGTCAGCTCAAGGTCAAGGTCACAATTGAAGGTCAAATATCAAACACAATCAAATATTAGACAGTATGTCGTGTCCGCTCTGTAAGTCCTACAGTAATTGAAAGATTTTCTTCAAACTTGGCTCAAATGTTCACCTCAACAATGGGATGTGCAGAACCCATGTTGCCAATGTGTCAGCTTAAGGTCAAGGTCACAATTGAAGGTCAAATATCAAATATTAGACAGTATGTCGTGTCCGCTCTGTAAGTCCTACACTAATTGAAAGATTTTCTTCAAACTTAAAATGTTTTCCTTAAATAAGGAAAATGTAAACCCTATGACTGAAATTCAGACTTGTGAAGTTGAACTGCAAAATAATTACATGATTGAGCATATAAAATTACTTGAAAACAAAATTGCTTTCTTGGAACAGAGGCAGCTTAAGCTCGTTACTGATAATCAAGCTCTTCAAGATGATCTGAATCAGTCTGTTTTCTGTGTTGAAAATTTGAAGCCACAGGAATTTCCATTTTATACAGGATTTCAATCTCAAGATGTTTTTAATGTGGTACTTGGGCTTCTAAATCCAGGTGAAAATGGAGAAAATATTTCAGTTGTTCAAGAGAAAGAAAATGTTGTAAGGGATGGCGAAAGGAAAACTAGGTCAAGAAAATTGTCTCCTTCAAATCAGTTTTTCCTTTTTTTATGCAGAATTAAATTAGGATTATTTGAAATGGATCTTGCAAGGCGTTTTAACATTTCTGTCTCCACTGTCAGCAACATAATTATTTCATGGGCAAACTTTTGTTATTTAAGGCTAGGAACATTGATTATCTGGCCTTCACGTGAGATGGTAGACAAGTCTATGCCCAGTTCATTCAAAATGAAATATCCATCTACTCGTGCAATCATAGACTGTACAGAAATAAATGTTCACCTCAACAAGGGGATGTGCAGAAGCCATGTTGCCAATGTGTCACCTCAAGGTCAAGGTCACAATTGAAGGTCAAAAATTGACTTAGAAAATGTTCTTAAATTTTAACATATATCTGAATATTTCTGAATCTAGGAAAGGTATTTGCTTGAAAATATATATGAAGTGTCACAATTAAGATATGCTGGTCAAGTTTCATAACTCTGTATTGCATTTTAACAAAGTTATGCCCCTTTTTAATCTTAAAATTTACATACAATCACATATTAGACAATATGTCGTGTCCGCTCTATAAATCCTATACTAATGGAAGAATTTTCTTCAAACTTTACTCAAATGTTCACCTAAACAAGGTTATGTGCAGAATCCATGTCACCTTTGTGCAGGCTAAAGGTCAAGGTCACACTTGAGGGTCAAAAATTGTCTTAGAAAATGTTCTTAAATTTTAATATGTACTTGAATATTTCTAAAAAAACTAGCACAGGTATTTGCTTGAAACTTAAAAGATATATGAGGTGTCACAATTACGATATGCAGGTCAAGTTTCATAACTCTGTATTGCATTTTGACAAAGTTATGCCCCTTTTTAAGTCTTTAAATTTACATACAATCAATACTAGACAATATGTTGTGTCCGCTCTATAAATTCTATGCTAATGGAAGGATTTTCTTCAAACTTTACTCAAATGTTCACCCCAATTGGGCGATGTGCAGAACCCATCTTACCCTTGTGCCAACTTAAGGTCAAGGCCACACTTGAAGGTCAAAAATTGACTTATAAAAAGTTTAGTATATTGGGAAAATGAAAGGTTATTTGTAACTGTTTCGAACATGATTTGAAACTATTACCTGTACATTTAGTCTTTTTTTTCACCAGAGATAATTTCTTTTTATGTATTTGTGCTATCAAGTTATTCCCTTAACCACCTTTCAAAGTTGTCTTCTGTCAAGGACATTGGTGGGGGTATGAATCGCATTCAGCGATAGTTCTAGTTTCTACAAGGTTAACCAGACACCCTTGTTTGTTTATCAATAATTCCATGCAATTTATTAATATCATGTGGCAAAGATCGAAGATGCTTGCATTTACAAACATTATCGGAGTTGTACATAACATTTTAGTTTAATTTATTTTTACCCTCATGTAAATCATTTTGATGTTATGAATGTCATTTTAGATGAAAGCTGAATTAAATAAGCATAAAAAATTACTCATACTTCAATTGACATAGCATAGCGCTAGTAAGTAGAAATTTCTCCATGACAGTTGATCTCAGACATTGAGTCTGATGGTCATATGTCTTGCAGCATTGATTCAGGGATACGTAGTTGGTTAATTGTGCAAATATTGATAATAACTGGTATGTTATCCAGTGTATCAGGTTAGGTGGATCAACTGCCTAGAAATAATACTATATTATGTGTGAAAACAGGTGTAAATAGTTATTACATTGTACCAGAATAAAATAAACAATTTCTAAAGTACTGAACAGTCAGGATTATTAATTTTTCAATTTTCCTTTCGTTAATGTTTGTGCCTCATTTTGAACTTTTATCTTACAGAAGAGGATGCTACCATTCAACTTGACGCCAGGATAGGCTACAGAAACAAAGACGATGATGTTAACGACTGGAAGGAACTAGCGAAATCCCTCGAGGAACGTAATCTGAACTGTAAAATGGAGGGAAAGGTATTGTAGTTTGAATGTATTTACATGTAAGCTTGATTGTGATTTTGTTTCTCCTGAGTTTAGCCATAATCACCTTTCCTGTTTCGGCACTGTATGACCTAAATTATGACTAGTGCGCTGTTAAACCAAATAAACAAAGGTTCATTGTGATGAAAGATTACAGCTTTTTTAAAGCACTCTTGAGTCAGTTTCCTAGAACTTATCAGTACAAGTGTCATATGAGGAAGCATGGTTGTGACTGTAGTAAAGCTCAAACCCATGACCAGTTGTTTAGAGGCCGGCACTTTAACCACTTGTGTGTCATTAGCTCCTATACAGATGAAAGATATCAATGAAAATAACACATTTTACATGTATATTTTGTTAAAAGAAATAGAATAAAAGGTGTTATTTGTATTGGCCTTGTTATTGGAGTGATACAGTAAAATTTATGTTATAATTCCAGCCGTTGGCTTTTGTTTTTTTCCCCATTTTAGAAGGAAAATGGCTATGCATACGATTGTGACCCACTGTCATTCTTTGAGCTTGGCAGTGTCCATCATGACTACTATCTTGTAAATATTAAAGTCCCAGTGGAGCCATATAAAGGGATCAACATGGGAATTGGAAAACTAAGGGATATCACTCTTGTTGTAAGTATACTAAGGGATACAACTCTTGTTGTCAGTATAATGCAGTATAATGCATTTTCCCCCTAAGTATTGGCAGGTTACTTAAAGAGTTAAGGTACAGGATCAGAAAAAAGGAAGGCATAAAATTTTGTAAAAAGATGATGTTGTTTTTATAATTAATACTTTCTACATGCTTTGCTTTCATGTTCTCTCTTTGCTTTGTGAGAACCTGTTTGGGGGGGGGGGGCATTTTCATGTTGTTCCACTTGTAAGGGGATTGTAGGCAAATTTTTCAGTACAGACATACAATGATGAATAATCATACTCATGATGATAAGTATAACATATTTTGTTTTGCAAAAAGCAAATTTGTTAGATCATTGTTAAAACAAAAATTTAATAATTTTAGGGGATTTTATTTTTAAGATTGTAGAAAAAAGATATTTAATTTTTTTGGATTTGAATGGTGCCGAATTTTGGCACCGAAATATGTGAAATGAGGGCATTAATCCCTAATTGTTTTTGTTTTTTTTCTGAATAGGCAATTCACCAGAATGGAGGCTTCACTAAAGTGTGGCTGTCAATCAAGACAGTGATGTTCCCAATGGTATTGGCTGTCCTCATATGGTACTGGAGAAGAATCTCGTTACTGACACGACCAGCTAATTTGTTGGAAAGGTAAGACCGTAAAATTCCTATTAAACACCCCCAAGGCCTAACATTTTCCAAAGGAGGGGCGTTTCTTAAAACACAGTTTTTCCTAAATCCAAAAGTCATTGTAAATATATTTGGTGTTTTTCGTTTTCATAATAACGTTAAAAGGTGTTAAAAATTAAAAGTTTATAATGATACATTTTTGTGTAATAAATGGATTCTGAAGGATTTGAATAAAATTACAGAGTTACTGTTAAGTTCAGCACCAGTGAGTAGATTTCTTCCTTGGATGTGGGGGGGGGGGGCTTACTAGGGCAGGGGCGATTTATAGGAATTCTCAGGTATACCTGTTTTGAAACTTACTATGCACTTGCAGAAAGGCCAACTTACCTTTCTTCATACATTTTTATAGACCTAGATAATCTGTAGCAGTATTTAAAATGCTACTGATATACTGATGATACATACAATCATGTTTATTTCTTGTATCATAGGTCAATATTTATTGCTGATAGTATTTAAACAAGAAATAAGTTATTAATGTGAATTTTTTTATTTTGCAGGACACTTTTTGCACTTGGCGTAGCTATGTCAGTTTTAAATTGTAAGTATAAGTTAGTTTTTTACTGTGTGCCTATCTTCTTTGATTCAAGACTTATGCTTATCATTATGGCAGCCAGTAACCGAAGTTAAACATTGGTTGCAACCTATGCACAAGTGACTTGTTACTGATGCTTTCCCACCCTTAAGGGAATAATATTGATAAGATTTCCTAGTACAAGTTCAATAGAATTGTGCCTTATAAACATGTGTATTTGTCATACTTTTTAGTATTCACCAAAATTGTTTGTTCAGTAATGATGTCATTTTACTTGTATGTCATCATATCATAATTGTTGTTAATTTAAAAAAAAAACTGAGAAAAAAATCACAGAGAGCATATTGTACTTTATTTTAAGATTATATACCTGAAATTTTGTCCTGTTGTAATTTAAGTATGTAGTGTAATACAGCCTAAATAACTTGAATTTACATCCTGTCTTTATTAACAGCTCTTTTGAAATAAAAGCTATTTACACAGTGTGTTACAGTTTCCCATGAATGACAATAATTTTCACAGTGTATTACAGTTCCAGTTAACTACCGGTAATAACTATTTTCACTGTGTACTACAGTTTTCCTTCAATGGTGACTATATTCACTGTGTATTACAGGTCCCCTGGAGTGGTTCACATTGGTGTTGGATATGCCATTCATGCTGTTGATCACTGACATTAGACAGGGTGGTTTCTATGCCATGCTTCTTAGTTTCTGGATCATATTTACAGGAGAACATATTATGGTAAGTCAACACATCTTAATCTTCCATACAGTCTATGAGTGTACAATGTTAGGTGGGCAGGTGAAAACCTGGGGTCTGGGGCCCTGTTGTTAACCGGACATAACTGGTTTCATTTAGAGTTGTGATCTGTTGTAAATATGAATTAGGCTTGATTATATGCAGTGCATTGTTTGCATGACCCTTTTGTACTCTTTGGTGCGGGTATTCCAGTTTTCTGTGCCAGTGCTGGTGTACAAGTACACACGTTGCTGTCGTTTATCAGTACAAGGAAGATTACGGTTAAGTTTCACTTTGCTAGAAATAAAATGAATGCTTAAGTAACATAATTTTGAAATTATATTAAACTATATTTAACTCTATTAAACAATTATCATCTGTTTCAAAAACTACTAATACAGCCTTGTTGTGGTTTGTAAATTGGAATTTGGAATTGCTCATAGCTTGACTGTTGCACTCATTCAGGCATCTGCATCAGTTTTTGTGCATGCAATCTCATTAAAATCAGATCATAATTGCTCTTCAAGCAAATGGTAGTGGAGCAACAGTAAGGATGTGATTTGAATGAGATTGTTATTGCGTGCAATTTGGTATCTTCAAAACTTCAGAATGGGTTGAAACTCCACTCACTTATTTGAGAGCCTTAAAGAAGGTCATTGCTCAAGGGCGATAGCTCTCACTTTGATTTTAGCAAAATTACAGACCTTTTTGCATTTAATTCTTTTTTTTTACATTATCCAGAGTTTTGTTTTACTATCAAGTTCTGAGAATAGTTGAACGAGCTGTCTACGTGACAGCTTTTGTTATAATGACTGCAAGCCAAACAGATTGAAATTTATTATTTTTTATACCACTGTTACAGGACCATTTTATTTTATGCCACTTTTACATGACCATTTTATTTTTAATGCCACTGTTACAGGACCATTTTATTTTATGCCACATTTACATGACAATTTTATTTTTAATGCCACTGTTACAGGACCATTTTATTGTTAATGCCACATTTACAGGACCAGACAGAGAGGAACAGACTGGCTCTCTACTGGAAACATCTTCTAGCTGTTGTGATTGGTTGTTTCTGTCTGCTGCTCTTTGAACTCTCAGAAAGGTAACAACAACCCTGTAATGATAATTACAACTGCAAACAAACATTGAAATAAAAACAAATGGTGATAGATGTGACACTGAAGTAGGTTTATCATATGTGATACATGATACTCAATAGAACAAAGTTTGATTTTAAAGCAAGAGCAGAGGTCTTCCTCCACCAGTAAAGCTGGAACGTCGCGATATGACCTATACTGTGTCGATGTGACGTAAACCCCCCCCCCCCCCAAAAAAAAAAAAAAAAAAAGCAAGTGCACATTTTTATACAATAGAATGTATGTGGTTATTGTCATTGACTTCAATCGACTTGCCTAACTTGCCTATCACTTCTGTTGGTTTGAGTAGTGTAAGCATTGTCCGATTTTACATGAGAGAAAGATATCCAGCTAGCTTACAGAATGTTGGTGGCCGTACTGAGATGCAAGTTTGTGCCTGAAATAATGAACAGAGGGGCACCTGAGGTATACGTCCACCAGTAAAGCTAGACAGTCGCCTTATGACCTATACTGTGTTGGTGAAATGTAAAACCCATCCCCAAAAGAAATAAAATACCTCATGATCAAGCTTTATTGAATTATATATTTGGTATATTCAAAAGTTATTAACATACAGCTTTTTTTTGCCCATGAGAAATATTTTGTCAAATTTTTTAAATTTATAGCAAATGAAACATAAGTACATAATAAATGTTTAAATTTATTTTGGATATTTCAGAGGTGTACAGCTGGCTAACCCCTTCTTCAGTATCTGGGTCACTGGTATTGGATCTAAACTGGCTGTATCCTTTCAACATATTAGTACAAGAATGTTCTTTTTAGCCTGTTCACTGGAGCATGTAGTGAGCTATTGTGACCCCACCCATACCCCCCCCCCCCCCATGTCTCATTGTGGGTTGTTCATGTACTGTTCAAGGTCTGCACAGTTTGCCATTCAGTCAGTATATATTTTGAAATTTCTCTAAAAAAAAAAATGGTTATGTCCAGATTGGAAGATGGACAAGTCCATTTTAAGATATTTAGGGTGATGGTGATAAGTGTTTTAGGCTTTTAGTACATGTGTTTACTGATCCATTGTCAGTGTTCACAAAGTAATCATATGATATTTACTAGAAATGGAGGATATTAAATGAGTGCAGATTCAGTACTGAATTTATTGAATGAGTTGTGCAAAATATATACTTTTACGGATTCACAAAAGCAGCACAAGTATTTGATAAATTTTAGTATACCATAGAATAATACTCTACTCTGAGTACTATAGTTTAGCTATTATATTTTGTTTGAAGAAGTCAAAACACTGACTTTCATTTTACTTAGATTTTCTGACAAATACAGATCTCTAGGTGTTAGGAAATGCATTGGATTGAGCTTGAAAATATTTTAAATTTTAGCACAATTTCCAGGGGAATATATAGCTTTATACGTTTTAACATAACAGAACATTTCTTTAACATAGTGGCAGTTATCTGTCATCATTATAGCAGCTATTGCAGCCTCCTGTTATTTCTTCTTCCTGTGTTACATGATCTTCCTGGTGTTTAGGAACATCAGTTCTAAGAAGACGGCATTACCTTCTATGAGCAGTGGAAGACGCTTGTATTACATGGTAAGTTGTTTCTACAGGGGGAAAAAACATATGCAAATTTATTCAAATTTGTACTAAATTTATGCAAATATATGCAAATTGTACTTATTTATGCAAATCTATGTAAATGTTTTTTAGAATGGACCTATCAATAGTGTAAGTGTTAAAAACATAATCACTAACCATTTTGTTTGTTTGTTTGTTTGTTTGTTTTATTGTGCTTAAGTCACACCGACACAGTATCGGTCATTTGGCGACGTTCCTGCTTTACTGGTGGAGGAAGACCTCAGGTGCCCTTCCTCCGTGCATTATTTCAGGCATGAACAGGCACCTGAGTAGAACCACCGACATTCCATAAGCTAGCTGGATAGCTTCCTCACATGAAAGAATCCAAAGTCCCTGTCGGGATTCGAACCCACAGCTGTGAGGGGCAAGTGGTTTGAAGTCAAGGACCTTAACCACTCGGCCACGGACTAACTATTTCAAATCAAGTGAGAATATGAAGGCTGTTATTAAGTTACTGATTTAAATCACTACAGTGTTGGAGCAGTACCCTTGACACTTGCAAAAATCATTATCACAAAGTAGAAAAATAACGCTTTTTTCGCTGATTTTTACATTTTTTTATTCTTTTTCGTATACACATTGGTGTGATGAGATGTTTTAAAGTGCATTTCAGCCTTGTCTGGTATATACTCGTCCGATATATACTGGAAAACAGTATTAAGAGTGGTGTTGCCAACACGTTTGCTAGTCTTAAACTTAAGTTATTGGTGTCTCTTTTTTAGGTTTTGTATTGCTATGTATTAAAGATGGTTTTAGCGTGTTTCTTTTATTTTAGGGTCTGATATACAGATTTAAGTTCTTGATGTTGACAACACTCGTATGTGCAGCGTTGACCGTGATCTTCTTTATAATGAGTCAGTTGAGTGAAGGAAAATGGAAATGGGGTGATGAGGATCTGAACTTGGAGTATACAAGTGCTTTCTTCACGGGTATGTACTGTATCATTACATTGTGTTGATATTTTGAGTTTTTCAGCTCAATTAAATATAAATATATGCACTCATTTATAAACAGGAGTGCCTATCTCTTGATACAGATTTTTATAAAATAATGTCCTTTTTTGGGGCAGTTTGTGAAAAGTTTAGTTATTGATTTGTATCTTCACACTTTTTCACTGAACTTCTTTGAGATACTGCTTTCAGTTTGAAATACTTGTTTATGTCCATGAAAATAGTATATTACCTTTTGTGCATTTTGACAAAATTACGCACTTTTTTTTGTCTTAGAATTTTGTTTTAATTTTTTGTACCTCCAATCATTATTGTATTACAGGTGTATATGGAATGTGGAACGTTTACGTGATTGGATTACTATCACTGTATGCCCCATCTCATAAACAGTTGGCTCCGGAAGGTGAGAATATTTGATTTGATGTCATTTTAGGCATTATTAAAATGAAGGTTACAAATTCATATATTTCAGGCAGCACTATGAGTTGCCTTTGTGAATTCCATTGAGCCCTTATCATGCATAATTACTTGAATTGACTCATCTAGCGTCTAATTTTGGAACTATCCATTTTCAATTTTGGGGGCATCAAGATGAAAATTTGAAATTTGTCAGCCATCAGTATAGAGATGATACATTATAATTACATGTATATACAGTCAAACTTGTATTAAGCGACCGCGCAAGGGAAACACCCAAAACAGTCGCTTAATGAAATGGTCTCTTAAGACAAAGCATGACATAAAAGTCAAAATTTACAAATGACATCTTTCTTATGCGGTGGGAATGTTTAACAACTTCATTTTCATATAAGTGTTGAATAATTAGCACGCTCGATAATCTAAATGTAAAAAATAACTTTCTGTTATTTATTGACAAAACAGTTGTGATCCATTTCGTACATGTTTGACATTTTTTATTTGAATTGTTTAACTTCTCCGTTGTTTTTCCTTGTCTCCAACACAAAAACCCTACTAGTGAAGACGTTTTTTCTGTTGTGCATTTTTCATTTGAAATAAATAAACTACATCTAATTTAATTGCTGATCAAGTTCAAGGTCAATTCAATGCAGTCTAAATGTCAACAAGCGGAGTGTATACAACACATCAGTAGGGGCGGAGCGTTGCATTGTTTAATCGATATTATTGGATAATACACGACACGCGTGTACTTAACTTCATTTGCTTACGCTTAAACAGTTTGGGAAATAGCGTTTTTTACACATTTATTTGTTGTGTTTTGATTGTTGACACTTATGGCATTACCAGGCGGCGTTCTCTCAAAACACAATTACTTGACAGGTAACAGTGGTCGTTTAATGAAAAGATTGCTCTTAATTAGGTGACTTATTAGCGGTCGCTGGTCGCGTTGAGCAAAAGTCGCTTAATACATTAAAAATATAGAGTGAAAATGATCGGGGGGAATGTAAAGTGGTCGTTTAAGACAAAAGTCGCTTAATACACGTGGTCGCATGGGCAAGTTAGACTGTACTCTTTTATATTTCCATCATTTAGTGATGCGTGTACTTGTCACAGTATGTAAATGAAATCAGTGTACCCTGTCTTGCTAGCCTATACAATTCAATGTGTACCCTGTCTTGCAAGCCTGTACAATTCAATGTGTACCCTGTCTTGCAAGCCTGTACAATTCAATGTGTACCATGTCTTGCAAGCCTGTACAATTCAATGTATTCCCTGTCTTGCAAGCTTGTACAATTCAATGTCTACCCTGTCTTGCAAGTCTATACAATTCAATGTGTATCTTGTCTTGAAAGCCTGTACAATTCAATGTGTACCCAATCTTGCAAGCCTGTACAATTCAATGTATACACTGTCTTGCAAGCCTGTACAATTCAATGTATACCCTGTCTTGCAAGCCTGTACAATTCAATGTGTACCCTGTTTTGCAAGCCTGTACAATTCAATGTGTACCCTGTCTTGCAAGCCTATACAATTCAATGTGTACCCTGTCTTGCAAGCCTGTACAATTCAATGTATACCCTGTCTTGCAAGCCTGAACAATTCAATGTGTACCCAATCCTGCAAGCCTGTACAATTCAATGTGCACCCAATCTTGCAAGCCTGTACAATTCATTGCCTACCCTGTCTTCAAAGCCTGCACCCTGTCTATTGATTACCAGCATGTGTTACCTCTGATCAATGCACCTTTCTAGGGAGCATATATATTTTAACTCGAACCTTTCTTGTGATACAGGAAGTAGACTCATTAAAATTGAAACATTGGTGAAAATCTTGTGCATTCAGCAACATAAAAGACATAGAAGTTCAATCAAATGCAACATGAAATTTAATTGTGCAAGAAAAAGAACGAAAAGAAAACTAAATCATCAAAAGGGACATTATGCCTCAGAAACAAGTTAATTTTAACTTCTTTAGAAGGTGTGAACTGAGTTTTATAATGTGAATATATTGGTATTATAGCTTGTTTGATGCATTCTACCTGAAGAAAAGAGTGCTGAAAATGAAATTATATGAATTTAAAGGAGCAAAATGTAAACATAAAGTATTATTTTGACTTCTACACAAAAAACGAAATTACTTCAACAGTACTTATTGCAAAAAAAGCAACTAAACCAAAAAACAATTTTGGTTATTGGCCAATGAGTAACTGTTTGGAAACTGTTAACAGGACACCAAATAAGAGTATATGTTCATTAAAATATAAGATTTAAGATGCACAAGTAAGAAAAGTTATATTTAATGATCCATTTTAGATCCTGCGACAGATACGCCAATTTTGACTGTGTCAAAGTCAATCGACTCAATCACTGATATCAGCATTCCTTATGTAAAAAACATGTAACATTATGTATGTATATGAAGCAAAAAACTTTTTCGTAAATATTTTAGATTAAAATGTTTCTAGCATTGGTGTGCCTCTAGCATTGGTAATGCAGCTGTAAACATATGTTTTCTCACTAACCACATAAAAAAATGTTATTAAAAATAGCAGTGTTGGAAAATCGTATCTCACATGGGCTTTTCTCACTCTCCTTGGTGGTTCTTTATGTTTTTCACACATACGCGATATTAACCTCTATTTGACAATAAAACATCACAAGGGTCAAATCATAATAACCTTGCTTTTTGGTGGTGAATCCCGTCTGAATTATTTTGATTGAATATTTCGATACATAAACTGGATCAGTAGATTTTTTTGTGGACAGTAGAATGCTTTTTGTCAACCATAGAAAATCATGCGCCTAAGCCCCGCCCCACCTTTCAAACTACGTTGTAATGCGCATACTGATATTTATATTTTGTTTCTTGTGTGTCCCAGTGAGTGAGAAAAATAATCAATGGATTAGATAGAGGAAAGGGACCTTGCCAAGGCTCGTTCTGATCACCCCCGGGTTGGGATTTCCCTATCCTCTATCTAGTCCAATGATAGATTCTATTAATCTCTATTCTTCACAAAAATATTTATTGATATTCCTGTTTTATAGTGATCACAAATGTCTGTCTGTAAGCTATTGAAACTTTGTTTCGCTATCACTTTGCAATTTTTCTGAAACAATAGTTTCTTCTTTACTTAAAATGTTAGACAAAGTTTCCTAGAAATGTCTATTCTGTTTGCATATTTTATGTGCTTTATGCTTTGGTAGTTTAGCGCGAAGGAAGGTAATCTTGTACTGGTGTAACTCTCCAGGAACTATGGTTAGGAAACTACCCGCCTATATGACTGAAATACTGTTGGGAAAAGGCGTAAAATGAAACAAACAATGTGCTTTATAATCAAGACACGGTTTAAATAAAGAATGTTCATACCATTGGGCAAATTAAGTAGGTCAGTGAAATAATCATAAACTGCATTGCTACTGTGACCTGGTTCAATTAAGGGGACACAAAGAATGATTATCATAAGAATGATATTTAAACCTATCAGAGAGATTAAGAGATTTTTTCAAGTTCAGTTATACTGTTGATGTCAGATTCTTTGGGTTTATAGAATAAGAAAGAGCAAAATTAATATGTTATGGTTTGCTTTATTTAATCCAAACTTTAACTTGTAAGGTTACATAGTCTACGTTGAGTTTAGGTTGAGCATGGCATAGTACGGAGGATTTTATTAGGATGAAGACGTCACCTCCTTTTGATTTGATGCTGTCTTTGCAATTCACAGTATATTCTAAACCAGTGTCTGTGCAAAACACTGTATATCCTAAACCTGTGTCCCTGCAATAGACTGTATAAATCCTAAACCTATGTCTGTGCAATCATGCAATACACTGTATATCCTAAACCTTTGTCTGTGCAATACACAGTATATTCTTATCATGTGTCTGTGCAACACACTGTATATCCTAAACCTGTGTAGACCTGTGCAATACACAGTATAACCTAAACCTGTGTCTGCAATTCATTGTATATCCTAAACTTGTGTAGACCTGTGTCTGTGCAATACATTATATATCATAAACCTGTGTTTGTGCAATACAAGTATATAATAACCTGTGTAAACATGTGTCTGTGCAATACACTATATCATAAACCTGCATCTGTGAAATACACAATATATCCTAAACCTGTGTCTTTGCAATACATAGGTTATTTTAAACATGTGTATGTTCAATACATAGTATATTCTAAACCTGTAGCCAAGACTCAGTGGCTGCAACAACATTAGGTCTCTGTTTGTGTAGCAGTGCATGAATTAAGGATTGATTGACAATTTATCACTGACATTTTTGTGTCGCCTCTATGGAGTAGTGGTGACATATAGGGATCACTTCTGTCGTCTGTCCATCTGTCTGTCGGTCCGTCACAAAACTTGTCCGAACTACTCCTCATAAACTACTGGTGCAATTTCATCTAAACTTTACAGGAATGATCAGTACCAAGTCTAGTTGTGCTTATTGTCAGCATTTTCCGGTTCAATGATTTTTGTTAGAATTATGGCCCTTTAATAATTTTTATTTTTAAAGTTTGTCCGGACTACTTCTCTTATACCACTAATGCAATTTCAATGAAACTTTACAGGATTGATCTGTAGCTCAAGTCCTTGCGCATAGTACACGGGTTTTCCGGTTGAATGATTTTTGGCCAAGTTATGGCCCTTTGATAAAAAGGTTGTTTTTTTCTGTGTGTTGCCAGATACACAAAAGCTTGTCTGGGCTACTCCTCATAAACTACTGGTGCAAATTCATCCAAACTTTACAGGAATGATCAGTACCAAGTCTAGTTGTGCATAATTATTGTCAGCATTTTTCGGTTCAATGATGTTTGTCAGAGTTATGGCCCTTAAATAATTTTTAGCTCGACTATTCGATAAGAATAAGTAGAGCTATTGCAGTCACCCGAGCGTCGGCGTCGGCGTAACCACTTATGTTAAAGTTTTTGTAATAGTTCAAATATTTTCAAAGTCCATAGACATATGGCTTTGAAACTTTGCACACTTGTTCACCATCATGACCCCAACCTGTAGACAGGAGGAGGTAACTCTATCAAGCATTTTGACAGAATTATGCCCCTTTTTCGACTTAGAATTTATGTTAAAGTTTTTGTAATAGTTCAAATATTTTCAAAGTCCATTGATATATGGCTTTGAAACTTTGCACACTTGTTCAACATCATGACCCCAACCTGTAAACAGGAGGAGGTAACTCTATCAAGCATTTTGACAGAATTATGCCCCTTTTTCGACTTAGAATTTACGTTAAAGTTTTTGTAATAGTTCAAATATTTTCAAAGTCCATTGAGCTCGACTATTCGATAAGAATAAGTAGAGCTATTGCAGTCACCCGAGCGTCGGCGTCGGCGTAACCACTTATGTTAAAGTTTTTGTAATAGTTCAAATATTTTCAAAGTCCATAGACATATGGCTTTGAAACTTTGCACACTTGTTCACCATCATGACCCCAACCTGTAGACAGGAGGAGGTAACTCTATCAAGCATTTTGACAGAATTATGCCCCTTTTTCGACTTAGAATTTATGTTAAAGTTTTTGTAATAGTTCAAATATTTTCAAAGTCCATTGACATATGGCTTTGAAACTTTGCACACTTGTTCAACATCATGACCCCAACCTGTAAACAGGAGGAGGTAACTCTATCAAGCATTTTGACAGAATTATGCCCCTTTTTCGACTTAGAATTTATGTTAAAGTTTTTGTAATAGTTCAAATATTTTCAAAGTCCATTGACATATGGCTTTGAAACTTTGCACACTTGTTCAACATCATGACCCCAACCTGTAAACAGGAGGAGGTAACTCTATCAAGCATTTTGACAGAATTATGCCCCTTTTTCGACTTTGAATTTACATTAAAGTTTTTGTAATAGTTCAAATATTTTCAAAGTCCATTGACATATGGCTTTGAAACTTTGCACACTTGTTCAACATCATGACCCCAACCTGTAAACAGGAGGTAACTGTATCAAGCATTTTTTTACTATCAAGCACTAAGAATAGTCGAGCGTTGCTGTCCTACTGACAGCTCTTGTTATTTTTAAAGTTTGTCCGGACTACTTCTCTTATACCACTAATGCAATTTCAATGAAACTTTACAGGATTGATCTGTAGCTCAAGTCCTTGCGCATATTGCAAGGGTTTTCCGGTTGAATGATTTTTGGCCGAGTTATGGCCCTTTAATAAAAAGGTGTTTTTTTCTGTGTGTTGCCAGATATACAAAAGCTTGTCCGGACTACTCCCCATAAACTACTGGTGCAATTTTATCCAAACTTTACAGGAATGATCATTACCAAGTGTAGTTGTGCACTGTCTGTCTGTCTGTCCGTCTGTCACAAAACTTGTCCCAACATGAAATTGGCCATAATGCGGCGACACATGTGATCACTGAGCGCTCTTGTTATTTTAGAGAGGTTTGTTTACTTCAGTTATTTCTTTTATCCTCGTTCACTTGGCTATGTGATTTTGTTCGGTTGTTGTTGCAGGTTTATAAAATATTGAGAGGATACTAGCAATATTAGAATGTTTCAAGTTTTCACATATTGTGCAAAAGATGCATCATTTTGATCAGCTTGGTTGTACATACCTAGAGGGATCAAGATCTTGGCATAGTAAATGATTGTATTTAATTTAATAATGCAATCTTACATTTTTCTATAGGCTTAAAAGGGCCATGACAAAAAGATAAATCTACAACTTATATAAAATCATCAATGAAATATTTGTTAAAATAGAGAAAATAAGAATCCCTAAAGAAAGCCCAACACGTCAAAATTGGCCTAAATTAAGCCTATTGATTGATGCGAGTGTAGTGCGCTGCTATCTTTGTCATAAATAATCTCATCATTTATATCACCGAGGAACATAATTAATTTTATTATACAATAATCAGAACACCACAGAACAAATAGTGCTTGATGTGTATTTTAACATTCTCCATAGTCTGCATATTTTTATTTTTTTTTAATTAATTCATTACACAATCTTTACATAATATGGAGTGGGATGTACTGGAATTGCTATGTCAAGTTTGTCAGTCTGCAAGTCTGCAACATTCTGCTTGATAAATCCTACACTCTTTAAACTTTGCTTGAATGTTCACCTCAACAAGGCATTGTGCAAAGCTTATGCTGTTACTGTGCAGACTTGAGGTCAAGGTTTCACATTAAGGTCAAATAAATTTTATGTCTGCTCTATAAATTCTTTACCCCTTCAACGATTTTCTTCAAACTTGGCTCATATGTTTATCCTAAATAACAAGATGATGAGCATATCTCATTCTGTGCCTTTGCAGGTTTAAGGTCAAGGTCACACTTGAAGGTCAAATACAATTTTGTATAAATTCTTTACGCCTTCAAGAAGTTTATCCAAACTTTGCTGAAATGTTCACCTCAACAAGGTCATTTGCCTGTTTAATAAAAGGTCCCTTAGAAATTCAACAAATTCAAAAATATTTTTTTGAAATGGTGGTTCTCTGGTGGGAATAAAATACATCAAGTTATATTATAAAATGGAAAATGTATATCTTACTTACAATGTTTTTCCATAGCTATTAATTTTATATGTTTCTTAACTATTCGTATTTTTTGTTGTTGTTTATCATACCTTTTGTTTGTAAATGTTTATATTATGTACACTGTATTTAAATAAAGTCTTTATTAACACATCTGTGAATGTTTCTTAATTCAGAATTTCACCATTTCCATGTTTTAATGTTGAATTCTGCTTAAGTTGGTGCTAGGGGGCATGGACTGTTACTTGCACTTTCCAGTACCGTCCATGAACAGGCTCAATCAAACCAAGCCTGTAACATTTTCAGTTTTGTGTTGTTGGGCTTTCTTTAGGGTTTCTGTTTTTCTCAATTTTATTATTATTATTATTATTATTATTATTATTATTATTATTATTATTATTATTATTATTATTATTATTATCAAGATCAAGGTTACACTAAGACTTGAAGGTCAATTGTCAGACAATTTTGTGTCCACTATTTAAATCTTTTTTACCCTTTTGAAGGATTTTCAGGTTAAGGTCTCTTTGAAAGTGAAGATTTGATATTATGTCATGAGTATAAAGTCTTTGATAAACTTTCTTCAAACCTATGATCACCTTTAAAAATAATGATAAATAGACCTGCATAAAATCCTGTGTCTTAGAGATTATCAGTCTTCTACGCAGTAATCTCCCCTTATCAGTAAAATCTGCCAAGGGAGGTACTCACTGTGAGGAGTTTGTGAGATTTTAAGGGTATTCATCACTCCAGTGGTAGCATTAGTTGCATATATAGGAACTAATCTTCAGTTATAATTCTTATTTCATTATTGTTGTAATTATCTAAATTATCTAAATTATTCTAATTCAGTGAATTTTAATAAACATGATTGTGTATCCGAATTGATCCAAATTATTATAATTTTCAATGCAAAATTATATTTGAATTAATGTAAACTACATTTATCATTATTTAATGCACAATTATTTTTTTTCTGTTAGGCACTACATCAGACAACAGTCAAGAGGAAGAGGTTCAACTGACCTACATGCCATCCACGTCGGAGGGGTCCACTTTCCAGTCCTTTGCTGCAAAAGCTGCGACCGACTAAATTAATTATTTATCTACGCAACTCCTGATTTGAAGTGTACATAGTGTATATACATTGTAATACGCTGAAAAATTTTCACTTTTTTATTTGAATCAAAATGTTATTTAAGGCCAAAAACAAAACAAACAATTTGATCATCATTTCAATGCCAAAATAATGGGCTTATGTTGCTTACTTGTAGTTACACTCGTGTATAATAATAGAAATAATCTTGTCAAGCAACAAAAAGAAACAATTTGTTAAATATCCAGGATCTTATTTACAGTGTAAGCCTATCAAAGATGTCAGCTTAAGCAATAGTCCCAATATATGAAACACTTTCATTTAAATCTGCTGAAAACCAGTCAAAGGACATTTTACTCCTCACAGGAAGTGAGGAGGAAGTACCGTATAAGTGGTTTTTTCTGCGGGCTCCAAATTCTGCGGTTTTTCCAAATTTTGGCAGGTTTTTATTTCTGCGGACTTTATTTCTACGGCACATTCTTCGGACAAAACGTGATTTAAATTCTGCGGCTCATCTTATCAAAGTCTAAGTCACATTACTCTTCCTATTTTATTTGCATGTACATTCGCATTAAAATTTTGTTTACTGTCATCACTGCAAAACTATATAGTTATTACAAACAATTATATTGCAAAAAAATATAATGTGCAACAATAGACAGTATGCATCTTTTGATCAGCGTGAAATGACTTGTGAAAAATATACTCAGGTAGTAACTTTAATTTAATAAAATTAATAGAAGTTTATTGTCGATCAGACAACAATTAACGTATACGACGATTATATAGCAGTATAAGAGTTTAAATGGTTTTAATGATTTAGTGGTAAACACTAAACAAATCTTCTAGCGTACAGGCAAACACTATGATGTTTAAATTTATTTGTTCATAAATTGGCATACCAGTAAATAACAATAGGTACATCCTTACAAGCGCATATTACATACTTAACCGAAAGCAATTTTATATAACTCGATGACCCGCTAACCGTTTTAATCCGTTAGTCGTTTACTTTAGAGGAAACAAGTCATAATGTAGGACACATATCGTTAGAAAAACAAAACGTGAAGAAATATTCTGCGGTTTTTATTTCTGCGGTGCTGAAACTGACCGCAGAAAACGCAGAAATAAAGTCACCGCATAAAAAACCACTTATACGGTAATACAAAAAAGTAGTCCCTTGACAGGAAGTGACTGCATAGCATTTCATGTGAAAAAAAGTAGTCCCATGATTTTGACAAGGTAGAGTGATAAAATTTATTAAACATTGTTGATAAAGATAATTATTATTTATTATATTGGCTATGCAGTTATGCAGTTATCATGAGAATAGATCTGAACTTTTATCATTGTCAATTTTGTGAAGCAATATATTTTATTTTTTGTACATATTATTTTTTTCATCCCCTTGCATAATATGTAATAAGCTGTTTTTCAATGAACATTTTCCTGAACTACTTTTCTTACTTTTTAACAACATATCAAAATACTTGGATACAAGAAAAAATTTGTCTTTGGTTGTGTGGGAGGGCGGGTCTCTTTTATTTATTTCCACTATAAACATTTCAGATGTTGTGATTAAGGTTTTAGATTCCCTAACTGAATATTTTAAAATTCAGACACAGTACTTTATGTCTTCCAAATCATATCATAACAAAAGAAAAAGTGTTAATTTGCAAGTTTTGAGACATTTTAAATTTTTTTATAATGGTCTCTATGACAACGGAACACGCATTGCTTATTGAGAAACTTCTTGTGTTGAATTCATGTAGCTATGTAACAGCAGGTCAGTAATTTTTCTTCTAGATCATGCCACAGGGTAAGGACATTCTGCATCACAACTTAGGAACAAATTTGAGACCTTTAAATTACCATTTTTGCAGTTTTACAAACTGAATTATTAAGCCGTTCACAATTTTTTCTTCACATTAAATGATTTTCTTCCCATTCGGACCTTTTTTACCTTGATAAGAGAAAAGGAAGCAGTAAAATAATATAACAGTATCACAAACATGTAAATATTTATAAAACTGATGTTGGTGCAAAGTCAAGCATTCCAGTAAGAGTAGCCTCAAGGGCTGAGTGGTTTCAGTTGCAAATTTTTAAACACCTGTCCCCCTGGCAAGTACATTTGAAGAGGCTCCCTAGCTAGTATAGTTGAAACTGGTGGTTCAACTAAGGTGCCTGCACATGCTTTAAATAATGCACAGAGGGCACACAGGCTAATTGTCCACTAGTAATAATAGTAAATATGCCATGGGACCTTTTAAAAGTTGGTGTTACAGGTTTGGACTTGGATCAAACCAAGAAATGAAACCAGTATATCACTGATGTTAAACTGTCTTGTAAAACCAGTATATCACTGATGTTAAACTGTCTTGTCTTTAGGGCATTAGAAATCACAACTACTCAATGTACTATCTGCCCATATTGATTATATACTTTGTAATAGACCTGTATTGCAATTTATCAATTCTTAAAGGAATTCAGTAAGAAAGATCCATTAACCATTAATGGTGTTGCTACTGGTGATGGGATTATTAAAGCAGCACGCCTCCAGATTCATGCTAATTTTCATGAATTTTTTTTCTCAAGTTTGATTTTATTGAAATATTTTGACTTATCTGGAGGCTTGTAGCTTTAAGACAGTGGTAACATTTCTTTATGCAAGTTTGTGATTAAGTAGCATTTAGCTACTACAAAATGTGCCATTTTCTCAAAAAATATTGTGAATCTTTAACACACTTTAGTTGATCTCTGCAAAATAAATTTACCATTTGTTTTTGTAATGTTTTATCAGTACTTGATATATTTCATTGTTTTTTCTATCTACATGTCTTTAATTTCATTAAAACGCCATATTTCCGAATTTTTAATCACAAAAGTTTAATGTTGTTCAGATAAATGGGCAATACAATCTCAGATATTGTTTAGAAAATATTGATTTTTGTAATTTCTTGTACAAATTTCAAATCTCTTGCCTCTAACGGCTGTGGGTTTGAATCCCTCCAAGATTAGAGAATAGTGCAATTTTCTTTATGACAAAACCATTTGATATTACTAACCACTAGTTACATCATTTATCTGACATCACTTATAACCATTAAACCACAGGTATTTGCCTCTAAACCAAGGAATTGTGGGTCAGGGCACTACTTTGGTCATGACCACATTTCCTCATAATGGACACCAGTACTCGAAAACTGTATAATATAATTTGTGAGAACCTTTTTCACAATCAAGTGCTTATAAATAAGGATAACTCTAACCCTGCCTTTGCCCACCAGAATAGAGCCAAGCTAGTATACACATCCATACAATCTGACCAGGCTCTATACTGTTGGTAGCTGAATTTTTGTATTTTGAGATTGCAATCCCTTACAACTTTGAATGGACTGTTCCAAATTCAAAGCAGGGCAAATCCATTTTACAATTTCATCAGGTCATTGGTTAAACTAAATGCAGCTCATACAAAGTCTTGGAATATTCTCAGCAGTGATCTCCAAGCTATATTGATTATGGTTACAGATTAAGTAGATAATTGGGATCAAAGGTCAATGTGGTTTATTGAGTGATTAAAATTGTAAATAAAAGATACATTTATTGTTCTACATATATCAATCTATTAAACAAAAAAAGATGTGGCATAGTTAAGTGTGAAATAATGAACAATTTTGGAAATTTTCAATTTTGTTGTACATGTATTAAGTAAAGAAAATTTTTGACTTTCTTTAAAAATATGATGACATATATACTTTTTATGCAAACATGTGTGACTGTAAATACAGTACAATTTCTATAGAGTGACACGCTTTGGGAGACAATTAAATAGTTTGGTTGTGATGGTGAGAGGTGTTGATCTACAGAGCATAGGTGCCTGATATCTAATACACACTCTCCTCTACCCTTCTCTTTTATATATAATAAATGATAGATATGTGAAGGTATGAAGGGATATTAGATGTCAGGCACCAGTGCTACAGAGGTTAAATTTACTGTGAAATTTAACTATAGGGAGCATTGATAAGTGTTGTCGTAAAGAGATAATTGCCATTTTGTTGAGGTGCTGTATATTATATGTACTGTACAATATACCTGTACATAAGTTTTAATACCAAAATTTTTAGCTTTAATTACTTTCTAGAATTCTTACTTTCTGGAATACCAGTTCTGGTGACATTTGAAGAAATGGGGTTTTGACCTTAGCAGTTCTTGAATCTCATGCTTTTGAAATACAATGTAGTAGTTTTCAGAAATTATTACAGTCCGATATTGATTTGTTTTGTTTCTTTATTTTATTCTAATGACAAATGCTGGATACATTTGCTAATTTAGATCTTAAATTAAGATATAACAAAAAAAGAAAAGATTTGGATAAAAAAAATGTTACGATATACAGGGTATGTTGTTTAAATTTTTTGTTCATTTACTGTCATATTATGAAAATTTTATTTCAGAAATGTTTATTTCGTCATTCTGTTACTTGCATCTGCTTTACAGTGCTGTATATTTTGATAATTATAATGTAAATAATGATGTGTTTTTTGGACATATATACATGTTGTACAGTTGTATTTCTTGTTTTATGATATTATATAATTCTACAGATCTGTTACAGATATTTTTTGCTAGATATAAATGTATAGATTATGTGTTGTGATAGCTTTTTCATTATTAAAAATAGCTAGTATTTATATTTATACAGTGTTTGTTATTTATTTATATAACCAATCTTGGTGGAAAATTAATGATGATTAAAAGATCTTGATGTCTTGATAACATTTTTTTCCAAATTAAAGGGACTCCACTGAGTTATTTTGACAATACTGGCCTGGAAATATTTTTTCAAAATTTTTATATGATTAGATGTCAGTCTTTGCTTGTACAATTTCGGATTGTTCCCTCGATCTGTTTATTTCCAGAAAAGATCATTTCTTTAGTGTAAAAAGAAAAAAAACAAAAAAGCTTTTAAATGCTTTTAAGTCAAATCAGGCTAAGAATTACACTTACATATTGTTTTTCAATTTAATTCTGGGTATATTTCTTTATCATCTTTTCATATTTCTTCATTTTAAGTGCCCCAGTTGATCAATGTAAGTTTCTGAAATTTTATATGTTGAAGCTTTAAGACCGCAGTGGAGCACCTTAAAATACCTTTGAAGTTGCCCAAATTAAGCGAATCTGTCGCTGAGTGGTTAAGGTTGTTGACTTCAAACCACTTGCCTATTCTGCCAGGAACTTTGGATTCTTTCATGTGAGGCGGCTATCTAGCTACTTTACTGAACATTTGAGGTTCTACTCAGATACCTACTTGTGCCTAAAGTAATTTATGATAGGGCACCTGAAGTCTTCCTTCACCAGTAAAACTGGAAAGTCACCATGGCTGATACAGTGTTGGTATAAAATCCAGCCAATCAATTGCCCAAATGTAATGCTTAGTTCCTGGTTGTGAAGTGCTTAAGGTTGCAGAAATTAAACAGACATGGGCATGGGGTTGAATCACACCAGTGCCATGAAATTCTTTATTTGAGAAGCTATCCAGTCAGCTTATAGGAGCATGATGATTTTACTCAGGTGACTACCTATGCCTGAAATAATGCAGTAAGGAACGAAGGAGCAGCAAGTGCAAAGCTACAAAAATTGCCATGTAATAGATGTAGTCTAAGCCTGGCTCAAAACACATCCAACATATACATTGCACATGAATATGTATTTTTAAGCTCCAACTTGCCTTTTGTCTGTCTTTACATACAAAATTCACTTGATCAATTGACAGAATTGCAGGCTCAAACATTTCACTTAATGCTTGCATTGTCCTTTAAGCAGGTAGTTAACTACTGATGTGTCTTGAACATCCTTCTGACAGTTCAAAAATATAAAAAAAATATAAAAAATTGGGGTGGGGGGAGAGAGAGGGAGTGATTGGTGTTCTTGTTACTGAGCTGGCTACACACCATACACATGCGAACAGTGATTGTGAAAATTTGAAATGAGCAGTTCAAAAGTAACCGGACAGGGCATTCAAAACTGACATGTGTGGCAAATGGATACTGCAAGTCACACCTGTAGGATGATTCTGGGCTCTGATGGAAGGGCTTAGCACTTTTTAAGCCCCTCTTCTTTTGAGAATTTTTCCCCACTACTTAATGTTGGTGTATCATCAGTATTTTTCAAGCCACTCAAAAACTATAAATCAGGTCTTATGACATTTGAAAAATACCCGTGGATGATATTCAGCCGATTATTGCAGAACAGTTTTCAACATTGAAAATTGACTCTTTGCCTATATTTTTATGACCCTCCCGTTAACTTCTGGAGTACACCGATATGTAAATCAAATACGCCTAGCTTTATAATTTTCATAGATATATAATCTAACGTCACCGGTTAAAAAGAACTTCCGCAACAAAATGGCGGGTGCCAGGTCGAATTTTATGCAGTTTTTCTCGCGGGATAAGGTGAATGTAAGGCAAAGGTTTTATTTAACAGTAACAGGAGATTTTCAGTCGAAATGCTCTTGTTATTTATCCACTTTGCCTATGTTTTCTTTTTTATTTAACCTTCGTAACTGTTTATTTTCTTCCCTCTGTTCTTCGCATATAGCTTCCTCGTTTACTTTGTTTAACTTTTATCATACTTAAATTGATATTCTATGGATTCAAATTGTCATTCTATGGATTATTTTAAGTAGCATCATAGATTTGCAGTATTATTTGAATAATAGAAATAAACCAATATTGTGACACGTTAAAAGTGTTTTTGGTTTTAAAATTGTTTTTTCCCCATCTATGCCAAAGGAGTGACCAGTGTCATTTTAAGTTTGGAGTGGTGTCATTTTAAAGTAGGGGTAATGTTAATTTGAAGTTAGGATTGGTGCCATTTAAATTTGGGTGTGGTGTCATTTTGAAGTTAGGAGTGGTCTCATTTAAATTCAGATGTGGTGTCATTTTGAAGTTAGGAGTGGTGTCATTTAAATTTGGGTGTGGTGTCATTTTGAAGTTAGGAGTGACCAGTGTCATTTAAATTCGGATGTGGTGTCATTTTAAAGTAAGGAGTGGTGACATTTACCAGTGTTTTTTTTCTTTATATAACTACTACCCTAAAACGGTACTGTTCCCAATAGAAAATAGACATTAAAATTCCTAATTTCCAATGTTTAAATTCCCAAAATGGCTGTTCAAAATAACCACAAGGCCAAGTGATTTCTCTGAAATCATTTAAATTCAACATATTCATATGAATCACCACTCAACAGTTCTCCCTGGACAGTGGAAGCTGTTAGCTATCTATATTCATGATGACTAATCTTATTTCTAGTTGAAAAAATGCTTAAAAAATTCCCAATTTCAGTCAAAATAACGCATTTTTTCCCAATCAGTCTGGTACCGGCACCATTCCCAAAGTAGAGGAAAAAAACACTGTTTACATTCAGGTGTGGTGTCATTTTATTTAAATGTTAGAAGTGGTGTTATTTTACTATTTTGGGCCGGGTTGCACAGGTGCAAACCCGTGTTATAGTATGGTGAATGTTTGGTGGCGGGCAGGCAGGGAAAAATTTTCATAACAGTTTTCTCAGCAGCTATTTATCACAGCCTCTTGATATTTGGCATATAGCATTAACATATGGTCCCATACATTTGGATTCAAATTCAGGTCTGTCGCTCATCCACTTCCTGTTAGGCGACTTAGTTAAATTTTGACATAATTAATTTAATGATCAATAGTAGGAAATTTTCGTATCAGTTTTCTTAGCAACTACTTACCACATCCTTTTGATATTTAGTTTACAGCATCAACACATGGTCCCATACTGTGGGATTCGATTTCAGGTCTGTCGCTCATCCACTTCCTGTTTGCCGACTTGGTTAAATTTTTGATATTAATGGTTAATGGTTGGAAATTTTAGTAACAGTTTACGCAGCAATTACTTATCACAGCCTTTTGGTATTTAGTATACAGCATTATCACGTGGTCCCATACCGTGGGATTTGATTTCAGGTCTGTAGCTCATCCACTTCCTGTTTGCCAACTTAGTTAAATTTTGACATAATTAATGATCAATAGAAGGAAATTTTCATAACAGTTTTCTCAGCAACTACTTACCACAGACTCTTGATATGTGGTTCACATCATTGACATGTGGTCCCATATTGTGGGATTCCATTTCAGGTCTGATGCTCATCTACTTCCTGTTTACCAACTAAGTTAAATTTTCAACATCAATGGTCAGTGGTAGGAAATTTAAGTAACATCACAACCTCATGATATTTTGTATACATATGCAACACGGCCTTTTCTGTCTTTGACCCATTTTTAGATTATTTTTTTTTGGGAGTGATGTCATTTAAAGTTAGGAAAGATGTCATTTAATTTTGGGAGTGGTGTCATTTAAATTTAGGACTGGTGACATTATAGGTTTAGGAGTGGTGCCATTTTAAGTTTGAAAAAGTGTTTATTCTTTGTTTTAAATTTGGTATTCCTCATCTTATGAAATATGCCAAAAGTTAGGAGTAGTATCATTTTAAATAAGGAGTGGTATCATTAAAAGTTTGGAATGGTGCCATTTTAAATTAGTGATCTCATTTAGAAGGCTAGAGTGTTGTCATTTAAATATTTTGAGAAGAAAAGTCAAGCTAAATGTATTGTGATCGCTTCCTCATTGTGCAAAAATTTAGATGTAGCCAATTATTCAAACATTTCATAAGTTATCAACATGACACTTAGAATGCATGCTTTTCATGACAAGGTGCAGTTTTCAGACAAGGGGTATGATTCTGAGAGCTATATTTAAAGTTATGCCACTTGTTTATTCAGAAATTTTGTCGAAATTGGTTGTTCTTTAAGGACAAGCGTTTTTGTTGCTCTTTTTCTATTAGGAAAAATTGGCATGCAGGTGTTTTTTGTTGATGTTTTATTTTTTTGTTTTCATTTATTGGATATTATACTGGCCAGCACTTTCACACATTAGTTTGTTATTGATGCAGGCTTGAAATGTATGTTTAAATTCTGCAATCCAGTATCCTAAAGTTTACTTCTTCATAAATATTTGTACAGTTTTTTGTTGTAGAATATTATCATTTCATACCTTTTTTAAAAAGACATTTCAATTTATTATGTCTTCAAAGTTTGAAGTTTAATTATTTGTAGATTGCTGTCAGATTTCCTAAATTTTATTTTATACTTAATATATATTGTTATATTTTATTTTACCTTGCTTTCAATTCCGTTTATCTGTCATAATATCAGAACTTATAGCACCTATTCTTTGTCATTTGTAATTGTTATCATGGTTAACAATCCGGTGTAATGCTTTAAATGAAAAAAGTTAAATATATAATGGGATTAATTCTTTCATTTATATAGTGCATTATGAATACCGTTTCTTTTTCTGTATACTTAAGCCTTAAACAGATCTTCTCTAAAAAATCTCTCATCAAAATGCTCAATATTCTGCTTGGCATTGATTATCAAAACATGCTGATTGGTATAATGTTCAGCGATTTTTATGCCCCCACAATGTGGGAGCATATAGCGTTGCACTTGTCCGTCCGTCCGTCCATCCGTCAGTCCGTCCGTCCGTCAGTCCGTACGTCCCGAAATCTTGTGAACGCAACTCCTCTTAAACCGCAGGGCAGATTTTGTTTAAACTTACAGGGATGAACAACCTTAATGTGTAGATGGTAGTAAAGGAAGGAATTTTTGCTGCGACCAAATTTAACAGAATTATGGCCCTTTGTTGATTTTTTCACTAGATACTATGTAGAAATTTTGTGAACGCAACTCCTCTTAAACCAGATGGCAGATTTTGCTTAAACTTACAGGGATGAACAACCTTAATGTGTAGATGGTAGTAAAGGAAGGAATTTTTGCTGCGACCAAATTTAACAGAATTATGGCCCTTTGTTGATTTTTTCACTATATACTATGAAGAAATTTTGTGAACGCAACTCCTATTAAACCTGATGGCAGATTTTGCTTAAACTTACAGGGATGAACAACCTTAAGGTGTAGATGGTAGTAAAGGAAAGAATTTTCGCTGCAACCAAATTTAACAGAATTATGGCCCTTTGTTGATTTTTTCACTATTTATTATGTAGAAATTTTGTGAATGCAACTCCTCTTAAACCGGATGGCAGACTTTGCTTAAACTTCCAGGGATGAACAACCTTAATGTGTAGATGGCAGTAAAGGAAGGAATTTTTGATGCAACCAAATTTAACAGAATTATGGCCCTTTGTTGATTTTTTCATTATATACAATTATACTATGTAGAAATTTTGTGAACGCAACTCCTCTTAAACCGGATGGCAGATTTTGCTTAAACTTCCAGGGATTAAAAACCTTAATGTGTAGATGGAAGTAAAGGAAGGAATTTTTTCTGCGACCAAATTTAACAGAATTATGGCCCTTTGTTGATTTTTAGTTTTCAACTTGTGGCACATATAGTTCAAAAAATATTTGACCTAGACTCAGTAGAGTCATAAGATTGACAGAACAGTGGCGTGTGGGGGCATCCGTGTCCTATGGATACATTTCTAGTTTTCCCTGAATTGTGAATGGGTCCAGTACCATAAAAATTGTGTAAAAAGGCGTTGTTTCTTAACAAATTGTGAATTTGTTAATTAAGATTGTTAATATCTTATTAAGCAGTAAGAACATATAATTTTTTTAACGTAATATTTACTGTAACGAGACATTTTGAATGATGTTTACAGAAATTACCAGACGCTTGTTTGATTCGTCCCTAGAAGTTTCGTATTTAAACAGTACGAAAATTTAAAGGGCGAATGCACCGGAAATCATGGTTGGCTAAACGCATTTTAAGATAAACATAGCACAACAGGCAAAATTTTAGCATCATTATGAGAAGAGAGGAAATAATACGTTATTAAATGCTTAATTAATCAGAATTGTGAACGGCTCCGTCAGACCCTCACCCAGTCTGAAAATTGTGAAGGTCCGTTTGTGTTTGTGAATGGGTCCAATATTTGGTACCACTTATATAGAGGAAAAAATCGCTGATATTGTTTTAGAGCCTGTATTTTAATATTTGCACCGCTGCTAATTTGACTACCGTGTTTTTCTGTCATTTTTTAACTCACCTGTCACAAAGTGACAGGGTGAGCTTTTGTGATCGCTTTTCGTCCGGTGTCCGTCCGTCCGGCGTCCGTCCGTCCGTAAACTTTTACTTTAAATGACATCTCCTCATAAACCACTTAGCCAATTTCATCCAAACTTCACAGGAATGTTCCTTTGGTGGTCACCTTTAAAAATTGTTCAAAGAATTTAATTCCATGCAGAACTCTGGTTGCCATGGCAACCGAAAGAAAAAAACTTTAAATATCTTCTTTTAAAAAACCATAAGAGCTAGAGCTTAGATATTTGGCATGAAACATCTTCTAGTGAGTGTCTACCAAGTTTGTTCAAATAAAAGCCCTGGGGTCAAAATTGGCCCCGCCCCGGGGGGTCATTGATTTTCCCTCTATGCATGTAGTAAAAACTTAAAAAATCTTCTTTTAAAGAACCCAAAGAGCTAGAGCTAAGATATTTAGCATGAAATATGTTCTAATGGGTGTCTACCAAGTTTGTTCAAATAAAAGCCCTGGGGTCAAAATTGGCCCCGCCCCAGGGGGTCATTGATTTTCCCTATATGCATATAGTAAAAACTTAAAAAATCTTCTTTTAAAGAACTCAAAGAGCTATGGCTAAGATATTGAGCATCAAACATGTTCTAATAGGTGTCTACCAAGTTTGTTCAAATAAAAGCCCTGGGGTTAAAATTGGCCCCGCCCCAGGGGGGTCATTGATTTTCCCTATACGCATATAGTAAAAACTTAAAAAATCTTCTTTTGAAGAACCAAAAGGGTTAGAGCTAAGATATTTAGCATGAAACATGTTCTAATAAGTGTCTACCAAGTTTGTTCAAATAAAAGTCCTGGGGTCAAAATTGGCCCCGCCCCGGGGGGTCATTGATTTTCCTTATATGCATATAGTAAAAACTTAAAAAATCTTCTTTTAAAGAACTCAAAGAGCTATGGCTAAGATATTGAGCATCAAACATGTTCTAATAGGTGTCTACCAAGTTTGTTCAAATAAAAGCCCTGCGGTCAAAATTGGCCCCGCCCCAGGGGGTCATTGATTTTCCCTATATGCATATAGTAAAAACTTAGAAAATTTTCTTTTAAAGAACTAAAAGGGTTAGAGCTAAGATATTTAGCATGAAACATGTTCTAATAAGTGTCTACCAAGTTTGTTCAAATAAAAGCCCTGGGGTCAAAATTGGCCCCGCCCCGGGGGGTTATTGATTTTCCCTATATGCATATATTAAAAACTTAAAAAATCTTCTTTTAAAGAACTCAAAGGGCTATGGCTAAAATATTTAGCATCAAACATGTTCTAATAGGTGTCTACCAAGTTTGTTCAAATAAAAGCCCTGGGGTCAAAATTGGCACTGCCCCGGGGGTCATTGATTTTCCTTATATGTGTATAGCAAAAACTTAAAAAATCTTCTTTGAAAAAACCCAAATAGCTAGAGTTAAGATATTAAGCATGAAACATCTTTTAGTGAGTGTCTACAAAGTTTGTTCAAATAAAAGACCTGGGGTCAAAATTGGCCCCGCCCCGGGGGTCATTGATTTTCTTTATATGTGTATAGCAAAAATTTAAAATCTTCTTTGAAAAAACCCAAATAGCTAGAGTTTAGATATTAAGCATGAAACATCTTCTAGTAAGTGTCTACAAAGTTTGTTCAAATAAAAGCCCTGGCCCGGCCCCAGGGTTGTCATTGTTTTTAACTATATGTGTATAGTAAAAACTTTAAAAAAATCTTCTTTTAAAAAGCCCAATGAGCTAGAGCTTAGATGTTTAGCATGAAACATCTTCTTATGGGTGTCTACCAAGTTTGTGCAAATAAAAGCCCTTGGATTAAATTGGCCCTGCAACGTTGGGGGGTTGGGGGGCCTATATACAGGTGAGCGACCTCAGGGCCATCATGGCCCTCTTGTTTTTAAAGACAATGTTAAATCTTTTATTAGATTAAACATAAATAAAGTGAAACGAAAAGTGCCTGATATGATCTAAAACTAGAAATTTTATGAAAACTAAATTACTTTAACAGAAGATTAATTTAATCTATAGTTACAGCTTTATTTAATTCCTTTGTTTCTGCATGATGTTATGATTACAGACATTCAGACCAAAGAAGAAATTTGAATCAGGAACACTAAAGTTCAACCTTCATAAACAAGCAAATGCTTCACTGAATTCAGGGATAGATTTGAAAGAAGTAGTGAAACTTCCTCCTGGTGAAGATCAAAATGATTGGGTAGCAGTCCATGGTAAGCCTTTTGTTTTTTTGCTGCATACATTTACATACAATACAGTACATGTGTATCAAATTTTATAATGACCATCTCAGAATAAGTGAAATGGTATTGATAATTAAATGGTCAGACAATGCTAGTATCTGAGGTAATTTTCATAATTGCATAGGAAAGCACTTCTACAGTTTGTTACATATGTAACCATGAGGTCATTTTCTACACAGCTTTTGTGTATTTCTGAAAAGCAGTTTCACATCCATGTCTCTTGAATATTCTTTCTGCAATGCTTTTCATCAATTTCAACATTTGTTTATATATACTCAAATGTTAGTTAGTTAGTTTTTCAATGACTTCTTTGTTTGTCTGGCATAGTTTTAATGTCTAAAAAGTAACCTTGTTTCTATATGTATTATATTTTTTTTCAGTTGTGGACTTTTTCAACAGAATAAATTTGTTATATGGGACGATATGTGAATATTGTACAGAACAGACCTGTCCTACCATGTCAGGGGGACCCAAGTATGTATATAAGCTCAAATTATTTTTTCTTTTATTGATCTTAAACTCTTTTTGGGAATCAACCATTTATCATTTTAAGGGGAAAATTTCAAAATATGCACAATGTATTGACTGAAAAGCAAACAGTGCAAACCCCTGATCAGATGTTATGAACATGCTATCTGATCTCAGTCTACTAATCACATGACTAGAATCTTTTACCAAATGTAGGCTAAAGGTTTATTGAGCTCTTAATGCCCTTACATGCTAGCTCTGTGTATATATGGCTTAAAATTTGTTTTAATTAAGACACATTTTTTTTTCTATTATTAAAACTGATATCTTAAAACCACATGGACCAACATTAAATTTTTATATCTTTAATGGACTGAAAGTATAGTTTTAGAAATATTGTTTTTACCAAGGGTTATGTTCAGAATATTGATTTTAGAGCTTAATCTTTGCCCAGATAATTATAGCAGGGATCATTCTGGTCAGGATTTTTAGTGAGAGATTTTCTCTCATTTGAGAAATTTTGATGAGAGAAATTAGATTTTCTTGAGAGATTTAATTTTCATGATGGGCGAGGTTAAAAATATGGAAATTTTTAGTTTTTTAAAATCACTGTACATATAAACATTGTTTATCTAATGAGGATATAAGAAGATGTAGCTCTGTTTATTACAGTAATTTTTGTTTTCACTTTTTAGCTCGACTTTTCTATGAAAAGGGGAGCTATCCTACTCGCCCCGGCGTCGGCGTCGGCGTTGGCGTCACACCTTGGTTAAGTTTTTCGTACCACCCCACTTTATTTCAGAAGTATTACAAGTATGGCTTTGAAACTTACCATACTTGTTCACCATCATAACCTCCATCTACAGACAAGAGTACATAACTCTGTCAAGGTTTTTGACAGAATTATGGCCCTTTTTAGCTCGACTTTTCTATGAAAAGGGGAGCTATCCTACTCGCCCCGGCGTCGGCGTCGGCGTTGGCGTCACACCTTGGTTAAGTTTTTCGTACCACCCCACTTTATTTCAGAAGTATTACAAGTATGGCTTTGAAACTTACCATACTTGTTCACCATCATAACCTCCATCTACAGACAAGAGTACATAACTCTGTCAAGGTTTTTGACAGAATTATGGCCCTTTTTTGACTTAGAAAGTGTATTGAGCTTGGTTAAGTTTTTTGTACCACCTCACTTTATTTCAAAACCATTGGAGGTATTGCTTTGAAACTGACCATACTTGTTTACCATCACGACCTTCATCAACAGACAAGAGGACATAACTCTGTCAAGGTTTTTGACAGAATTATGCCCCTTTTTGACTTAGAAAATACATTGAATATGGGTAAAATCCACTTATTGCCTTAACCCTTTGAGATATTGCTTTGAAACTTTTAATGCTATTTCACATCATTACCCCCATCTGTACGCAAGAGAAGGTAACTCTGTCAAGGATTTGTTTTAAAAATTAAGGCCTTTTATCGACTTAGAATCTTGGTTAAGTTTTTAGTACCAGTCCACTTTTTGACTGAACTGTTTGAGATATTAATTTGAAAGTTGGAATACTTGTTTACAATCATGATTCCCAAACATGTCCAGGAGAAGGTAATTCTGTCAAAGATTTTATTTGAATTATGGCCCTTAACTGTCAATGTTTTGTATTATAGGCAAGCACTAAAAAACTTAAAAAATCTAAAAAAATTCATTCCTATCCACTTGTTCACTTTACCATAAATTATGTCATATAAACATTGCTGTAATATTCAAGGGTATCAAACAACTAGTTCACTTTAAAAATACAGAGATTCTTGTATTGCCTTTTACTGCAAAAACTTTTTTATTGGCAAGCAATAAAAAAGTCGAGCGCGCTGTCTTACGGACAGCTCTTGTTTGACTTAGAAAGTGTATTGAGCTTGGTTAAGTTTTTTGTACCACCTCACTTTATTTCAAAACCATTGGAGGTATTGCTTTGAAACTGACCATACTTGTTTACCATCACGACCTTCATCAACAGACAAGAGGACATAACTCTGTCAAGGTTTTTGACAGAATTATGCCCCTTTTTGACTTAGAAAATACATTGAATATGGGTAAAATCCACTTATTGCCTTAACCCTTTGAGATATTGCTTTGAAACTTTTAATGCTATTTCACATCATTACCCCCATCTGTACGCAAGAGAAGGTAACTCTGTCAAGGATTTGTTTTAAAAATTAAGGCCTTTTATCGACTTAGAATCTTGGTTAAGTTTTTAGTACCAGTCCACTTTTTGACTGAACTGTTTGAGATATTAATTTGAAAGTTGGAATACTTGTTTACAATCATGATTCCCAAACATGTCCAGGAGAAGGTAATTCTGTCAAAGATTTTATTTGAATTATGGCCCTTAACTGTCAATGTTTTGTATTATAGGCAAGCACTAAAAAAGTCGAGCGCGCTGTCTTACGGACAGCTCTTGTTAACACATCCTATGCCTTTTCTTTTGTGAATTTGTAAACATAATAAAATTCTAATTGTGAAAAATAAATATAACACCTTTATTCTGAAATATAAAAGAATTATACATGGATATCTACTACAACTATTATTTGCAGCCAATGTTCCTAATGGCAACACTGTACTGTACAGAAGTGATTGTTGAGCTTTGAAGAATATTTTTTATAACCTTACATTTTGTTTTCTTTATGATTCTCTTCACACACCTCCCTCCATTAAAAAATATTCATTGAATATGTGACCTGAACACATAATGACAAATATCTCCATATCCACAAATTTAAACAATACCCAAAGTAATTTTAATTCATTAACATCATTTTTAGTGTTATAAAACACCTTTATATCGGCTATTTCATCAGGAATCGTAAAACAAATTTTTTATATTTGTTCTTTACGGCAAAATTTACCGTGGTTGATGTGACATTTAGAAGACAAATTTTACTGGTATTTGTTTTTGACATGTCCATTTTTTTGTTACTTGAGTGTGTGTCTAACAATTTTTAGCTCACCTGTCACAAAGTGACAGGGTGAGCTTTTGTGATCGCTTTTTGTCCGTCGTCCGTCCGTCCGGCGTCCGTCCGTAAACTTTTGCTTTAAATGACATCTCCTCATAAACCACTGAGCCAATTTCATCCAAACTTCACAGGAATGTTCCTTTGGTGGTCACCTTTAAAAATTGTTCAAAGAATTTAATTCCATGCAGAACTCTGGTTGCCATGGCAACCGAAAGAAAAATCTATAAATATCTTCTTTTAAACAACCCTAAGAGCTAGAGCTTAGATATTTGGCATGAAACATCTTCTAGTGAGTGTCTACCAAGTTTGTTCAAATAAAAGTCCTGGGGTCAAAATTTGCCCCGCCCCGGGGGGTCATTGATTTTCCCTATATGCATATAGTAAAAACTTAAAAAATCTTCTTTTAAAGAACAGTAAGAGCTAGAGCTTAGATATTAAGCATGAAACATCTTCTAGTGAATGTCTACCAAGTTTGTTCAAATAAAAGCCCTGGGGTCAAAATTGGCCCCGCCCGAGGGGGTCATAGATTTTCCCAATATGCATATAGTAAAAACTTAAAAAATCTTCTTTTAAAGAACCCAAAGAGCTAGAGCTAAGATATTAAGCATGAAACATCTTCTAGTGAGTGTCTACCAAGTTTGTTCAAATTAAAGCCCTGGGGTCAAAATTGGCCCCGCCCCGGGGGGTCATTGATTTTTACCTATATGCATATAGTAAAAACTTAAAAATCTTCTTTTAAAGAACCATAAGAGCTAGAGCTTAGATATTTGGCATGAAACATCTTCTAGTGAATGTCTACCAAGTTTGTTCAAATAAAAGCCCTGGGGTCAAAATTGACCCCGCCACAGGGGGTCATAGATTTTCCCAATATGCATATAGTAAAAACTTAAAAAATCTTCTTTTAAAGAACCCAAAGAGCTAGAGCTAAGATATTTAGCATGAAACATCTTCTAATGAGTGTCTACCAAGTTTGTTCAAATAAAAGCCCTTGGGTCAAAATTGGCCCCGCCCCAGGGGGTCATTGATTTTCCCTATATGCATCAGAGCTCCAGATAATTTTTTTGGCCAAGGGGTTTTTACCCCTCAAAATTTAGAGTGAGGGGTAAAATGCAAATTCTGAAAAACTTAAGGGGTAAAATCTGTCAAAAAAGCATTTTGCAGTTTTTATAAACAAATTAAACTTATTGTTTTGTTTGTTTGTTTGTTTTTATTTCTTTTTTTACAAAAACCTTTACAAATTAAATACTGATTTAATGTGAAACAATACAAAACATGCCATGTAAAGTCAGACTTCCAGAGTATACTGGAACTCAAGTTTAGGATACACAGCAAAATTATCAGGGCTTCCATTTTCAAAATTTGGAAGTCAAAGACTTCAAAATCTCTGATATTGGAAGTCACATTTAATAGGTAAAGAAGGAAAAGTATTGATTTTCGGAAGTCACAGGCAAAAATGAAGGAGTAAATGACTCCCAAACTTCCACTAGTGAAGCCCTGAAATTATTTTATTTTCTAGGAGTCAATATTTTTCTTTCTTTATTTCTGTTGGCATGTACCTTATCATGTACTCCAGTTCGAACAATTATAGTTGAAATTAGAATTAAAGAAACATAAACAAGATTATTTTTTTTATCTTTCCTTAAAAAAAGTATTAGTCTGAGAGAAAATTGTCCGTAACTGTAGACTGGGTACGAAAATATTGAGTACAAAACTGCAGGTGAAAAACATGTTATTTAATTCCAACAACAAAAGTTAAAGAAATTAAAATATATTTTTGAGGCATAAGCATGTCAATAGATGCCTAAACAAACTTAATACTGTGTTAACTCCTACGATGATTATCTGGCACAAATTTCATCAATAATTTCACAGGTTGATCTACGGGAGTTACCTCCCTTCTGTATTTCCTGCTACTTTCGTTTTTAACATGCGTTGTTGACAACGGAATTTTCAGTTTTCAATGCAATAAAATTGAAATACATTGTATTTTTATGCTCAAAACATTTTCTTTCTACATATCAAATGTTTACACTTCTATTCTTTCACGCATAAATTTTGACATACGAGCGTATTTTCATTTTGTTGTGCGTAACTGTGACGCACGAATTTTGAAAGTGATGCGCATTTTAGATTTTCTATGCGTATTTTACGCTTATACGCACGCTATCTGGAGCTCTGATGCATATAGTAAAAACTTAAAAAATCTTCTTTTAAAGAACTCAATAAGCTAGAGCTAAGATATTTAGCATGAAACATGTTCTAATGGGTGTCTACCAAGTATGTTCAATTAAAGCCCTGGGGTTAAAACTGGCCCCGCCAGGGGGAGGGGGGTCATTGATTTTCCTTATATGTGTATAGCAAAAACTTAAAAATCTTCTTTGAAAAATCCCAAATAGCTAGAGTTTAGATATTAAGCATGAAACATCTTTAAGTAAATATCTACAAAGTTTGTTCAAATAAAAGCCCGGGGGTCAAAACTGGCCCTGCCCCAGGGGTGTCATTGTTTTTAACTATATGTGTATAGTAAAAACTTTAAAAATCTTCTTTTAAAAAACCCAATGAGCTAGAGCTTAGATGTTTAGCATGAAACATCTTCTTATGGGTGTCTACCAAGTCTGTTCAAATAAACAAATAAAAGCCCTTGGGTAAAAATTGCCCCGGGGGTGGGGGGCCTATATACAGGTGAGCGACCTCAGGGCCATCATGGCCCTCTTGTTATTAAAATCAGTTAAAAGTGTTTTGAGTAAATTCTCAACTTACAGATAGATAAAGGTTAGCCATCATACCGTATTTCTGTATGGTGTGTTTGCGGTCTCCGATCGGCAATTATTTTAAGCTAAATAACTCAAAGTGTTGGACTACTTTTTGGAGTTTTTTTACACCGATTTCATTAATAAACAATTTGAAATTGAATTCTTGATGGGAATCGTGAATTTTTCATCATATTTTTGTGTAATGTAAGCATTCTTTAGATTGTGATTGGACATTTTCCGGCTCAAATTGCCGTGCGAGATTTTCTCTCATTTCACAAATTACTCTGAGATTTTGGTGATTTTTTTGCGAGAAATCGCGGAAATCGCCCCCTAGAATGATCCCTGTTATAGCTTACATAAATTTACAATTATTGTTTCAATTAGCAAAATTTGAAAAGAAACTGAAAAGAATGATACTTTAGGAATATGACTCATCATGGCAATATAATTAACCAAAAACAAAAACATAAAATGGTTTGTTTCTGTCATAATGTTTCATTTTATTTTGTCTCATCAGATATGAATATCACTGGTGTGATGGAGTACATTACAAGAAGCCAACAGCCTTACCTGCCCCCACATATATCACCTTACTGATGGAGTGGGTGGAGGCACAGATCAATGATGACACAATCTTCCCCCTCACATGTGGTATGTATGCTGGATTTATATGCCTCAATTTACGAGGGTGGGGGGGGGGCATGTAGACTTTGCAGAGTCTGTCTATCAAGCTGTTACTTTGTTAGTTGGTAAACTGACTAAATAGTGAAATGTTCAGATATCCATTTCTTGGACATATTCCTTGTTATATATAGCTCACATAGACTTTAAATAATTATGCTGCAATGGCCTAAAGTTGTGCATTTTCTTCCACCAGTTAAGCTGAAAATTTGTCATATGACTAACACTATCAGTTTGACTTAAAAAATTTCCAAAGAAAATTTAGGTTATATGTTTTGATCAGTTTGAACATAGGTGTCTTGGATTGTTCCTTCTGTCAGCACCATTTTAAACTTCTTGAGAGTATAATTATTTACAAGCTACCAATGAAATCAATTGGAAGGTCAGCAATAAGTATTCAATAGCGCTTGTGGGTAAAAATAAGGTCTAAGAGCTTGCTTTTGTTCAGATTTATTCCTTAACCTGCTGAATTTGTATAATGGATTTGCCCTATTTTGGAATTTGGAACAGTCCATTTAAAAACTTGGGGATATTAATATGAAAATACAAAAAGAGAGAGCTACCAACAGTATAGTGTCTGGTCATGCTGCATGGATGTTCCACTGGGGATATATTTAAGAGGAAAACTACCAATGATCGAGAAATTTATGAAAATATATATGCATTGAAATGTGGTTGAAAAATTATACATTTTACATTTTAGGAGTTCCTTTTCCGAAGAATTTCCTTACAACTGTAAAAAAGATGTTGACACGTTTATTTAGAGTATTTGTTCATGTATACATCCACCATTTTGATAAACTAGTAGCCATAGGAGCGGTGAGATTTTACTTTTACTAGTTTTTAGACTTTTTTACTTGCCTTTCTGATTCTCCACAACTTTTATTTTAAATTATATATTTAAAAAAATATATATTTAAGTCAAAGAAATTCCTTCAAACCATCATTTTTGTAGAGACAAGAAACAGTGGAACTATCTATTTTTGACAATAACTTAAGTATTTCCTTACCAAGCCATATTGTGTTTTTGTTGTGTGAACTGTCAGTGGTTCTACTCATGAGATTTTGCAGCAAATTCTGCTTAAAGAGAATTTAGAATTTTCAGGTGTTCTACTGCCACCAAGATATAGCAGTGGCAATGTTGGTGACCTGTCCTAGTATCATGTGACTTAAAAAATTCCTTCATGTGATTACTGTAGAACTGCAATCTGTAATCCTTTGGTAAAGAGACAGATTATATAATTGCTGTTCCACTTCTTGTAGCAAAGAGCCCACACATTTTCAGTCAATGAATTTAAGATTTTGAAATTACTAGCCCGAATTCCAGTTTTGAATTTATTCTACAATATATTTAACTAAATTTTCTTAAAATTTTCACTGGCCAGAAATAATTTTCACTGGCCATGGGCCAGTGCTAAATTCGATGACTGCATTTTAGCATAGAACTTAAAACAAATTAACAGGTAATATTAATTTACCCTATTATTGACAAAAATGGAACATGTATTGAACATGTCATTGTTTTTATTCATTCCTTGTTTATTTTTTTGTTACCAATTAGGAGGCACATGTGAACACCTGCTACAAGCATTTTTATTACTTTGTTGCTGAATACAACTTGGTGGACAAAAAGGAACTTGAACCTTTGGTATGTACTCTATTAGAAAAATCCATATCGGTCAATACTTGCAACAATTTTGTAGGTTTTTCTGCCTTTTAAAGAAATGAAAGGAATGAACAGTTTGCAGAGAACGTAGGACACAATGTAAAAAGTAAAGGGCCAAGGTCCAGCCTATGTTTTGAAGATTTTGATTAAGACTATAATTATTACTTTTGACTTTTCAATTTTAGAATTTTGACAAAACATCAGAAATTGATTTCTTTTGAAAAACCAGTTTGTAAGCTTCATTTTTCAGAAGAAAAAAAAAGCAAAGCTATTGTGGAAACCCACTAGTGGGTGTTTGCTTACCTTATTTGGGGCGTCCGTGGCCGAGTGGTTAAGGTCGTTGACTTCAAACCACTTGCCCTTCACCGCTGTGGGTTCGTATCCCTGTCCGAATCCCGACAGGGACTTTGGATTCTTTCATGTGAGGAAGCTATCCAGCTAGCTTACGGAACGTCGGTGGTTCTACTCAGGTGCCCGTTCGTGCCTGAAATAATGCACGGAAAGGCACCTGAGGTCTTCCTCCACCAGTAAAGCTGGAACGTCACGATATGACCTATACTGTGTCGATGTGACTTAAAACCCAAAACAAACAAAAGCTTACCTTATTTAGCAAAACAAGTTTTATATTATCAATGACTTTAAAACAAACAACGCTACTTCCAGTTTACTATCCAGTACTGAGACAACTAGACCCCATTGCTCCTTAGACAGGTCTTGTTAAGGTTTCTGAATGATTTGGTAAAATAAATTACCAAAACATTTTCTGTATTGAAAACATGGCTTTTTTTTTTGATGCCGAGCATCTTGTTGTTACATATGTTAATGCTACATCCAGTTTACTATCCAGTACTGAGAAACCTGGAGCACACTGTTCCTTGCACAGGTCTTGTTAAGCTTAGGAATGATTTGGTAATATAGATAACGTATTGAAAACACCATGTTTATTTCTTAAGCAGATCATCTAATTGTTATGAATGTTGGAAGGACATATAACTTAATTTACTTATCATATTATTTACCTATCATATTATTTACTTATCATTACAGAAAGAGATGACACAGAAGATCTGTCATTGAGGGTCAGAGGTCAACACTCGTCATTTCTTGTTATATTAACACCTTGCCTTCTTGTTGATCTGACTGTTATATACACTTCTATTTTTAAATCATTGGACAATAGTTCGCACCTTAATGAACTAGTGGTATAGACACATATATACATGTATGGACAGCACAAATGAAAGAATCGTAAATAATTGAACACTGTGATTTTTAAACCCCCAAATTTTCTGTTTTTGTAAATCAGAGATGGGGGAATATAGCTTCAAAGTCAGTTGAAAGTTGGAAAACTTTTTTTTTTTTAGTTTTTGTGTCAATTTTTTTGTTATTCTTTTAGCCCATTACGGAACAGACTAAAAATTAACATAGCACTTAGCAAAGTTTGTTTAAGCACCACTCTGAAGAGTATTAAACATATGCTTATATGGTTTCAGCCAAAAATTACTACAAAAAATTTCCTATAAAACTTCTTAACATTTATATTTACTCTAAACGAGATAAGATAAACTGAAGAATTTTTTTTAAGCAAACAAAAAGTTTTTTTCACTTTTGAAGATTGTTTGTTTAAATACAGTTATAATAGTGATTATTTATTTGTCATTCACCTTGCCTCATTCAGTGAGATTTAGAATTAGTTAATAAATTCCACCAAAACGTTATTGTAGGGGATTTTTATTTTTTTAATTTGTTTACAATCAATGTTTCAGTTTTTTACCACTGTATCAGTATTTTCTGCTATGTCGCAAACCCCCATCATGCAAATTGATTGAAGTGCATCTCAGGATAAAAAAGTAGCCCGTTTAAATACTTTACAATGAAATATATTCAATATACAAGTTTCCCACCTTAAAACATTCAGGTTAAGCTTAGTAGGTAGAATATTGAAGAAAATAGGTTAACGGGAACACATGTTTTTGAGTGATAGGGCAATATGTATTTGGAAATAAATCAGAATTAATTTAGGAAATGAAATATTACCATAATGCTACCTTTATACTCAAATCAAAATGTTCAGTGGGGGAAAGATGTCCTAATAGTTAAGGTTTCCTCTTATGATCACAGTACGGGTTAGGTCAGAAAAGTGGACTTTTGAAAGACTTCAGTAAGCTTTAAGTATTTTTGGCGTGCAGGAGTTAAGCTAAGATAAACATTTTTAAAAGGAAAATTATCCCCCCTGGATTTGAAGTTGTTTTTTTAATGATTATAATTATGTTTGCTGATATTCGTACTTTTATTTTACAATCAACTTGTGCTTATATATCCCTACAAAATAATAAAAAATATATAAAAAATTACTTCTGAAGCTGATATTGACAATGATTATAACTCTCTGTTTAACTATGATATATTATTGTGTTTTGTTTGGGTTAAAGCCCATTTTAGTTAAAGAAAATGTATATGTTTTAAAATCAAATGTGATTGGATTGGTTTCCTTTCTTTAAATTGATTGTAAAGTGCTCTTGTTTTGTAATGCAATTAATTGTAAATAGTTGAATATAACGTATATATGTTTTATAATATTCAGTCGGAAGTTGTTCAGTTGGAACCCTGTAATTGTTTGTTGTTACATTTTCTAAAGAATGGATTATACTAGACAGTTTAAATGGAAATGATTAAAGCCATGTATTTTGGGCATCTCCAATACACCTATGGATTTTTTTAAGTAGTAAAACATGTATATAATAAACTAAAGAAAACGTAACGAACCTTATATATACTTGTTCAGACCCCATGATCTATTCTAGGATGTACTTTTTCTACTTTAATGCAAACTTATATCCTGTTGAATAATTTAAATGGACTTAACCATCTTTCGGACTGGAAAAAAACGTTTAGTGAAAATAAAAAAGAACAATGCAATTGTTTCATGGATAGATTCTGTAGGTAAGATTAAAATGATTTATTATCAGATTTAGGGATACCAATATCACTACAACAATCTGTGAAGTTAAGGTCACTGCATGGATGTACAGGCTGGCCTGGCTCTATACTTCGTTGTTGAGGCTTTGCAGTTTCACTTTTTTTACATTGTATAGGTAAAGGGAAATAGATTGTTAGTGCAATTTTAGATAAAAGCAAATAGATTATTTATGCATTGTATAGGTCAAGTCAAAAAGATTATTTATGCATTGTATAGGTAAAGGCAAATAGATTATTTGTGCATTGTATAGGTAATGGCAAATAGATTATTTATGCTTTGCATAGGTAAAGGCAAATAGATTATTTGTGTACTAACGTCAGGGTATTCTTTGATAGATATGTAGTATTAGGGCTTTTTTGATATAAATATATATTTAAAGTATAAAAGAACAGTAATTACAGGGTTTCAACTGGGAACTTTTTTCAACAAGTTCTTTTTTTATATAGAATGTGTAGAAACATTCCGATAAGAATGCTCATAGTCTCCCTTATGTTTTTTATGTTTATTTTTTCTGTCAGATGCTCAGAAAAAAATATTTAAAAATATGTATCACTAATTCTAAGCATAACAGATGTTCTAAATATATTTCATCACTTAAAAATGAGATATACTGGATTTCTATACGACTCACTGCAGTGCAGGGAATTTACTTTATTATTTTTTACTTTAAATTGATTAAAAATACCTTTGAAATACTTTTTTTTTGCATTAAGACTTTTTTGTCATGTCAGTTTGTATTATAAACCATTTTAAAAGATTTTACTTTCAAGTGATAAAAATAATAGTTTAAGTATTCTATAACATTAATATTAAATTTGTTTTCAAACCTAATCTGTCTCGGCTGTATGATTTTGTTAAGATTATATGATTGTATCTCTTGTATGTGTTCTAATATTTGTAAAGCTTGGCACCAGTCATTAGTAACATCCCCCTACCACCGCATTCAACTCATACCCAATACAATGTTTGGGACTTTGAATTTGGGACTAGCAAAGCCTAGGTAAAATGAGAGGAATCCTATTAAAATATTAGTTGATTTCTAGGTACAGAGGGTAAGGCTATATTTCCCACTATTTTTTGCAAGAAAAAAACAACATTCACCATGTAAAGTTGGCTAAGTGGGTAGGTGAAAATTCCACTTATTTACTCTCTTCCCAACTACCTCTCTTTTTTTTTTCTTTTTTTTAATGCGTTTATTTAAGGTCACCGCCGGAAAGCCCATATGGGCGACGGTACACTCAAGTCAGGCCATCCTAGAGCGTCCCGCCGAGATTTTTTCGTCGATTTTTTTTTAATCAGCTTTTGTTGGTGGAGGAAGACCCCAGGTGCCCCTCCGGGCATTATTTCAGGCATGAGCGGGCACCCGGGTAGAACCACCGACCTTCCATAAGCCAGCTGGATGGCTTCCTCACATGAAAGATTTCGACCCAAGTGAGGATCGAACCTACAGCAGTGAGGGACCAGTGATCTCAAGTCATCGACCTTAACCACTCGGCCACGGAGGCCCCGAAACTACCTCTCTCCTACTCCCTTCACTTTTTATAGTACACTTCCACATGATGGGATATAATGAGGGCGGAGTAACAAAAATATATGGTAGTGGGTGGAGCTACAAATGACTGATGCTTTGAGTAAAGCTACTTGTTTTCAATTGAGTGTGAAAATATTCAACAAGTTGCTCATTTTAAAACAACAGAAATTTTGATTTAATTTGATTCATTATCTTTATAGTGACTATATGTTATATATACAAATATATTATCTAAAATAGCTAATTTATAAAATCAATCTTGTATTTCTATATGATTTTAATAGTATATGAGATTTTGTGTCTTGTTATCAGACACTCTTTTTTCAAATATCTTTTTTTTTACAGTTATGGACTTCCATAGTTCCTCATATAGAACAGTTTTTGATCGTGAAAAGTAAATCCTCAAATGTTAGCCAATTGCTCTATAAACATTTTCTGAGTCTGTTCATGTACTAGTATTTTCTAAGGCACATACTAAATCAGCAAAAAAATGGCATTTACTAGACATTTTATTTTACAATGTATTGTATTGTATTGAGTATTGGAAGATGGACAGTAATTGATTATGTAACAGTCAATTGATAATGATTTTTAAAAAATTATTCATGAATGTTGGAAAATATTTCAAAATTTTCTCAAACAATTCTGTTTGATAATTTGAACCAGGATATGGTAATATTTCAGAGAGCAATGAAAACTTAGCACTCAACAAAAATTGCAGTTTGTATATATAAATGATAGGACCATTTTTTCCTTAAGCACCTGTTAATAAGTTTTGCAGCCTCGATTTTTATAGTACTGTACATACTTGCTTAGAAGATGCAGCCCCAATTTTAAATTATTTGGCTGAAAGGCCAAACATCGGCTTTGACTTGTAATACGCAACAAGTTGTACCCCTATGTACAGTAACTTACCTGTAGAGTAATATTGTGTTTGCATTGGCACAAGGTGACAAATATCAACTGATGAGCAACATTATAATATATCAAAAACTAATGTCAGAAGTTTGATGATGTTGAATCATCAGAATGGAAATTATTGGAATAATTTCAATTTCCTTCAATAAATTCCTTGATTGTTGATTTTTCATGAAAATCAATCTGGTGCTATAGCAATGTCATATTTTATATACATACATATATACATTTACTCTAGACTACCTACAGTATTTATTATCAATACTATTATATTTTCCTTTTCATGAGTGAAATTGTTTGAAGTCATCTTTTGCTTTTATTTTTGTACGCTAAATTGTTTCGTTTTTTTTTTTTCATATTCAGTGTAGAGAGCTTTAAAGCAGCACTTTTTCAGATTGTTTTAAAGATTTCTAAAAAAAAAAGTTGTCAAATAAAGTTTATTTATGTAGTACTTACGAAATGGGGCGTCCATGGTCGAGTGGTTATGGTCATTGACTTCAAATTATTTGCCCCTCACAGGGACTTTGGATTCTTTCACGTGAGGAAGCTATCCAACTAGCTTACGAAACATCAATGGTTCTATTCAGGTGCCGCTTCGTGCCTGAAATAATGCATGGGTGGGCACCTAAGGTCTTCCTCCACAAGTAAAGCTGGAACGTCGCCATATGACCTATACTGCGTTGGTGAGGTGTAAAACCCAATCAAACAAATATACTTCATGTCCTCATAAATTTAAATTACCTATAACGTTTCAAAATCAGTTGATGGAGCCTCTACTGGTTAAAAATATGATGAAAAAAATAGTTGGTCACTTTACTTGTGCATAAAGTATGTTAATACATTTCTTTTAATATTGATTTGTTTTAAATTTCTTCAATTTATCATGCAGCTTTGAGATTCTGTTAGGTTTCATTTGCATTGATTGTAGAAATTACTTTGATATATTTTAGACATTTTGCTAGTTGATTTAGTTAAATGGCTAAAAAATAACTTTCTTATTGTATAAAATGTTTCTTAGGTTTTGTTTACTCTAGAATTTCCGACAGCTTTCAATCATATATGCATATAGTAACTTTATTTATCTTTCTTCTCTTTGTAATTTCCAGTAATTTCACATTATACACATATAATTCACAGTTCAGATGTGCCAAGTAGTTATATGTATGAATTGATTTGTATATTTGTACATGTATATTTCCTAATGTTTGATTTTTTTTGTCTGATAAATAGAAAGTTCTCATATAAGATAAATTGTGCAGTTTTGATCAAGGAAGGTGTGGCCTGATAAATTGTGTAGTTTCGATAAAGCCTATGAATCGTTCAGTTTTGATCAAGGAAGGTGTGGCCTGATAAATTGTGCAGTTTTGATCAATGAAGGTGTGGCCTGATAAATTGTGCAGTTTTGATCAAGGAAGGCGTGGCCTGATAAATTATGCAGTTTTGATCAAAGAAGACATGGCCTGATCAATTAATTTTGATTTAGGAAGGCGTGGCCTGACTGATATTCACACCCATGTTTCTCAGTAGTTATTGAGTCTAGATTGAAACAATTATTCACAATTATAGGGAATTTTTCTTTTTGATTATATGTATTATGAAACATAATAAATTTACTAGATTGTTTGAATACTAGATTATTTGAATTTTGCCATATCTGTATTTTGATATTTTTTGACATTTGTTTTCTTTAAGGTTAAAAAATAATATTGTTGGAAAATTGTATAATTAGTCTTACGCAATTAGCAAAGAATTACGTTCATTTTACTGATAATTAACAAAATGATGGAAAGATATTCTGTGCAGAGTAATAGTATGTGATTTTGGTTTGTTAGTGCAATTTTATATGGTCAGTGTTTGATTTTATGTATTTCTTATTATATTTCTTTCTTTCTGTGCTAGATCTGAAACCTTTTGTTTATATGACAGCACTAGTTAAATTAAGGGTGTAAAATATTTTACTTAAAGGCCAATTTTTAACCCCTTACCTGCTTGAGCAGAAAGTGTTGCGCTTTTGGCATCAGTATCAAATTTCTTGGGAAAAAAAGGAATAGAAATGCTTAGCATTAATTTGAATACCAGGCATATAATCATGTTTTTTTATCAACACTCAATGTGGCGTATATTTGATTTGTTTCATTGATTAGAAAAACTGTTACAAACTAATACTTTCTTGTTTTACGTTGTGTGCAAATAATTATGGACAAAGTTACACAATTTTTGTGCCATTTCTCAAAATTTTCTCTATAGTTTGAGCAGGTGTTTACAGCATTTGGCTCCATATTTCACGTTTTGATTTTCGAACTTTTTGAGATATGTATTCTAAATGCTTTGTCCTGTTTAGAATCACTTAAAGGGTACAGAACAAATCTTGTATGTATTGTGGCAAAAATCACATCTCAATTAAAAGAACTGTAAAATTTTGTGAAAATTAGATATGAGTATGTCAAATAATCTCTGTACCCACTTAGAATAGCTCTGTTTGCTAGATGTATTGTGTTAACCAATGATTTTCATGTGCACAGAGAATGAAAAAATACTCTTATGACCATCAGGGTATAATTAGACAGTTTTTGAAATCTTCCAAAATGTATGCTCGATCACTTATTAAAAATGCACATTTCCAAAAATCTGTTTTCTAATAGATTGGTTTTGAAGTGTAATCAATTATGTATCGGAAACATAATGTAATGTTAAGGCTTTGATAACAAATGATACCAAAACCTTTAGTCTGAACATTAAAAATTTGCCAGGTGTAATATATAGTTAATGTACCAGTTATGTACCAGTGTATGTTTTTTTGCGAGTCCTGGCTTATGTTGATTAATATTCTCTATTCTATATCTACTGTAAGTTATTTCTCTGTCTTCCAACTGCCTGTATGTTGAATGAAAGTATGAAATAAACTATTGAATGCTATTATAGTTACATTTTGATTTTACATCATCTTTTTGATGCCTCAAAATGCAGGTATATAGTTTAATTTATACAAATTCATTTTAGTCCAATTGTGTTGGAAGCTTTAAGCTTATTGAAACACTTCTCGAATGTGTTCCTGGAATCAACCATTACTGAGCATAGAATTTAAAGTTTCTTGCTCAAGAAAACAACGACTTGTCCCCGACAGGGTTTGAACCCACGTGTTTAGCAATCCTTAGATTACTAGTCTGACGCGTTAACCACTTGGACAAGCCGCCACTGCATAAAGTTATAGTGGCGAGTCAATTTGTACGAGTGGTGTCCACTAAATAACAGGATCATCAAACAGAACAATAGACTTTCATTACACCAGGACTTTTTTTTCGTATATGTGGGCTCTGCAAATCCAAAATAAGTGGACAGCTCTGAAACAATTTTGACAATGACAACAAATTGAAATTTTGTCCCAGACATGACTACTTTCCTTGTGAGTAACACTACACTTGTATTTTCTATTGATACACCTGTAACACATAAAATCTATTATTTGTCAACGAAGTCAAAACGTGTATCTTCTTACCATCATCAATAAAATTTCTCATTCTTTAAGATAGGTATTGTCATATTTAATGTCAAATGGATCCGTTATAGGTACGTTACAATGGTTTCCAGAAACTGGTGCCTTTTACAAAAGACTAGTTGATGATAGAAAAGAAGAAATTGTCACACTGGCTAGAGCTTTTCCAGGACTGGCATCTGACCAGCCAGCTCTACCGGACATATTTTGTTGCATGTAAAATTATTGTCTTTGCCATGTGGGCATTTGAACTCTGTGTTTTAGGCAAAAGCAAATAACTTATGTTGATGTAAAGGGAAGCTTTCAAGCTTTTGCATGAGCTACAAACAAATGGATAAATGACAGCTGGCTCTGAAAAATATGTCTTTTTAGCTAAACTTTTTCGAAGAAAAATTTGAGGTATTGCTAGTTAGACGGCGCGTGCACGCGCCGTTTAGTAGATATGCATTTGTCCGTATAGCAATGGGGGGAAATATTAGACTTGATTTTTTGCATTTTTTTGTTTCAACAAAATCAAATTGTTTTCAAATTTTCTAATAAAAATAGCTTTTCTGATGTACAACATGTCACAGAGCTTTAAAGGATTAAGATAAATGTTTAACTGAAGTGATAGTGTCATGTCTGAACATCATATTCTTTTTATATTTATCTTATTTTATCTACCTAATAAATAACTGCCAATGAGCCAGTCTGTAGTCGATCAGCATGCTGCTTACTGCCTACTGTGTACTAGACAGCCTGCTGCTCACTGCCTACTGCTAACTGGACAGCCTGCTGCTCACTGCCTACTGCTAACTGGACAGCCTGCTGCTATCTGCCTACTGCTAACTGGACAGCCTGCTGCTCACTGCCTACTGCTAACTGGACAGCCTGCTGCTCACTGCTTACTGCTAACTGGACAGCCTGCTGCTATCTGCCTACTGCTAACTGGACAGCCTGCTGCTCACTGCCTACTGCTAACTGGACAGCCTGCTGCTCACTGCCTACTGCTAACTGGACAGCCTGCTGCTATCTGCCTACTGCTCAGTCTAAGTCTATGTATGAATCAAATAGAAGTATTCCGAATGTACACACATGTGCGCACGCCATTTTGTTGAAAAACTTGCTGAGGAAAACTTTGCGGAAAACAATGGTAAGTAAATTAAAAAGAAATATTTTATAATTAAGCCTAGTAATTTGTACTGTCGAAATTCATTGCAATGACTTGTGTATATCCCGCCATTGCACACTGCTTCGATTATGTTATGGAATGGTTCCACGTGCCTCATTGCACAGGTGATTGATAAACAGTTATAGTATATGAAACTCGTTAGTTACGGGAGTATAACACTGGCTGGGGCGACATCTCGGAATGTTTCTGCAAAAATATTGTCTTACATTTCTCGACATTTTCTTAGCAGAAACACCCCTTGATGCCGCCTCAGCCAGTGTTATATCCTCGTAACTAACGAGTTTCATATACTATAACTATTACTTAAGACAATGAAATAAAAAGACGGACGTCCAGCAATATATTGACTAATCTGTTTTCTTTCCTGTGGTTTTAATGCCTTTATCATAAGTTATAAAAATCAGAATGTAACACAGGCAATACTGCAAAAACTAAGACATTAATTACATGCGAAAAACATTACATTGACTCAAATTTAGGATACCGCAGTTCATCATATTGTTAAAAAAATACTAATATTACTTTTTATTAATAATGCCCATGTAACTCAAAGATCTTTCAATGATTTTATTATGCATCGACTTTCCAATTATAAAAACAAAGCACTGAAAGCGCTGAAGTAAACATTGCTTGATAATATAATCAATTTTTGTCATCAAGGCCATGTTGTTTTTAACCTGCTGGCCTCAAAAAACAATAGGGGTCATCTTCTGACCAATATCAATGTCCCTAACAAGTGACTCACACCAAGGCTTTTTTCTTCCAAAGTTATTGATGAGACAAGGAAGATGTGATGTTCCATCTGTGTATTGCTAGGCAAGCTGATAGATGAGCAAAATAAAGAAATCATTTTTTGAAACACCGTTAAATGGACTGCAGTATAGAATATTGAAACAGTTCTATCGAGTCTTCAGTGATGCTACCTAATAAAAGGCATGACAAAGTCAATTAATTGAATCCCCCTACAAGACTTAATTACCAAATTATAGTACATCCTTTTGTATAGCTTTCCATGTTACAGATCTATGTACTGTACTTTGATGCATTAATATATATATTCTGGTGTGTTGTCTCCATCTCTACACATTAATTTTCAAATGAATTACTTTATCGTTTATTAATAAAAATGAAATCTATAATCAAATCAATTCAAATGTACTGTAATATTTTCATTATTGTTACATATAGTCTTCATATACAACCTTTCCAAGAAATTTATTTATATTGGACAGCAAGTTAACAAGGTTTTTTCCATAATCAGGCTGTGTTACCAACTTCTTAACTTTAGATGAACCATTCACAATATTGAGCTAAAACATTTTTCTGTTTTTGGCTACTGTGACCTACTTCTGATTTTCAACCAAGATGATCCATGTTCAAACTCGGAGCAAAGCCTGTCACACACATTCTTACATTGTACCAAGTTTTGAGACAATTGGGGCAAAAGTGTGACCACAGTGTTAACAAACTAAATTCTGAAATTCTCAAACATTTGAATGAGTCTAATATAATGTTCTTTAATTTTTAATTTCTAATTTCTAGGTATGTTATTTCCTTTCTCTTTGCATAGGTTGGTACCTTTAAACACCTTCAAATGAAGCATGCATACCTTTGGTCATGCAAAATCTTTGATTAAGTCTATTTATTTTTGAACAAGGGCAAGCTTAGAGAACAGGGTCTAAGATTATGAAATAAAAACGGCTACCATTGGCCAGTCACAATTAACATTGGTTTTTGATGAAATGAATTCTTAATACCAGTATTAGATTGATGATCATAGATCAAAAGCATAGCCTGAAGTATGGAAAAGAGAAAACTTTTTGTTTCAATATTTTTATTTTACAAAAGCAACACATGAAGCTGGATAATTTATTATACACATATATACATTTATTATAGTAAATAGTGTCTTTAAATGTAGATAAAAAATTATGCTCATACCGTCTTAATACTAAAAGTTATATTTTCACCAAAATTAGAATGAAAATTGTCTTAAATGATTGAATGAATACTTTAAAGGGCAGCTCTTTTAGAAATCTCAACAACACACGTGGTATTTAATACCAGCTTTTGCATGAAAATTATCTTGAAGTCCGTAATGGTTATTCTAATTTACAATGGTTTTTTTCCAGCCTGGTGCACCAAAGTTCCCACCAAAGACATTTATTGTAGATCTGATACATATGAACCTGTAAACTTGCTACCATTCGACACACCTGAAGCACACACCTACAAAAAAATCTAGTGAACTTCATAGACATTTTATTTAACTTGTTTTATTATCATTAGGTGAAGAATCCTCTAATGAATTTAGACAAAAAATGTTCAACAACTAAATTAAAAAAACAGAACAGAAAACAGTTTTATTTATGTAGAAAAATTTGTCATTACTTTTATTCTCCTTATTTACTGGCTTATTAAAACCTGGGCCGTAGAAGATTATCAAGTAACAGTAAATTCTGTGTAAACAAAAACTTGAGAAAAATATCACCCTTTCATAGGAAATATGAAAATTTGAGTTTGGCTAAATTGACCGTTCTTCAAACAGACATGTTCTTGCTTTTTTTCGAATTATTATTTTTAATGATTTAACACAGACATGATTTACGATGAATATGTGTTAGTTCGAGCAGTACATAATTTCCTAGGATAACCTTCGTAAATATACTTAGCCAGTTATAGCAGCATTTGACAATGTTAGAAATATCTAAAAAAATCTGGAAACTATTTATATCCCAACCCAATTCTTTTTATATATTGTTGATTTCGTATTTGTTTTGTTTACACCGTTTTGTATTATATATTTTATAAATATTATTAAATAATAACTGTGATATGTTAATGATCTAAACTTACTTTATAACTTAGAAATATAATATGTTACTTACTTTACTGTAGAAGAATTGACTAGTTTTATTGAAGCATTATGAAGCATGAAGTTTTGTTACTAGTTTTTCAGAAATCGAAAAAGTTCAAGCCATTTCCAAAGTAGTACTTTTCAATGTAAGTTTATATCACTGATAAATATTGAAAATGCACGAAGAAATAAAATGAAATAAAAAAAGTAAAAACATAACTTTAGTTGATTTTTTTATTATTTTTTTTTGTATACAAGAGGGTCATGATGGCCAGAAATTGAGGTAATAACTAATATGAAATTACATTATGAAATAAATGATGATCTTTTGCACATGTTTCACTGAATCATCTCTGACAAAAAGTGTTTCGGCTGTTCCAGTTGTCTGGCTAGCTTCACGAACATCGTCAAACCTTTTATTGCTTTTTACTGACACACATAAAAACTACGACAAAATAGATTAAATTTAGTCCTAATCATCAATTTGTATTCTCGAGCTACATTTTTTCATTTAGTACAATTTAATTTATTTCCACGAAATGGAATAAAAATGCTATAATTTATGACAAACAAAGTTCTGCTTCGGTACTCGCAATACCACTTTTACCAGTACCAGTAATTGCAGCATGACCCGACTCTGACTCGAATCCACAAATCCTGGGTAGAGAGGCAGACACCTTAACCACTTAAAGACGGCTTCATCAACTTATTAAGTCGAGTCAGGGAAAAATAATGGAATTATCAGGAATATTTTTATATAGAAATATTAGTGATCACTATTATGGAAAAGATGCTAGAGTTATGAGCCTTGTCATATATGACGTTGGTGATGATCAAAAATTAAGTTAATGATCTCAAAAATTACAATGATAAAATAAAAACTTTTTGAAAAAATTTAGACCAAAGGGGAAAGAACTCTTGAAATATAGGTAGTAAAGTTATGATGACGGGATAAAAATATCATATACATTAACTTTTTTCAAGACAAGTTAGGTCAATATTTTGCATTTACATTGTGTATGTTAATAGAGCAATTACATAAACTATGAACTTCATTTCTCCCCCTCTGCTTTTATCATGGCTTGGGACATGCTAGTTACTAGAACTAGGCAGCATTGGAAGAAGTGTAGTTTTATAGTTAGTCCAATCACAAACACTACGTTTCACTGGATGGTTTGAGTCCACACAAAATCGCCACACTTCTCCCCCATCAAGTGGCCAGACAGTTTCTATAATAAATGTCACTTTAGTGTCCATACACATGTAATTCCGGAATTAAATGTTTAACATCGATCATATTTCTCGTTCGCCATGAAGAATCGGTCCTGTGAAAATAAAAACAGATTCATATCATTCATGTCAAAATACAAGTATTTAGGAGAGAAAAAAAAATTATTTCATGAATTTAAACAATTATTTTAGCTTGATTGCGAAACAAGTTCTTGCACCTTATATTAATCCCTTTCCTGGAACTAACCAGTACTGGTGTCATATGAGAAGTCATGATCGTGACCCGAGTCGGGCTCGAATCCACGATTCTTGGCTTGAGAGGCAGATACCTTAACCACTAGATCACCACTCCCCTTAAATAGACGTTTTGCAATAGATGTTTAATATATTTCTTCTACATTAATTTGTTTAAAAAGTAAACGGTTCATTATTAAAAAGAAAAAAAAATGTCTTCAAAAAGTATGGTCAACAAAATTATTCATCCTTTTATCCCGACAATGCACCCAATCATAGACATGGTGCAAACTTTGCCGTTTTAAAAATATTTTCAGGATAAACATTTGAACTAAATATGACACTGAAAAACATAGTTAATAACTTAAATCATGCCAACAACTTAGATATTAAAGTACATTTATGTAATGTTATCACATTTTGCAATCGGGATTAGAGAAATTATTAATCAACAATGAAAATGACTAACAGTTATCTGTATAATACATTGATCATATATATAATATTACCTGCATAGTTTGATTCTTGGTGTCGTATGTGTGGATATTCTATAATGCTCAACTTAGCAAGGAGTATCTCCTGTGAATTCCTGTTGTGCTCTGTTGGGATAATAAAATTTCATATACAATTAGCTTTTAGATAATACCAATTGCATCTCTAATGACATGGATTTTCATCGATTGTTTTGATTGCCAACTTCAGTAAAGATATATGTTAAATTTAGGTTAAAATCCAAGCACTTGTATGATATATCTGAACAATGTTCATGTGTATTAGAGAAACCTACAATCTTTTCAGCAATAAAATATGAATATTTTTATTAATTTTGCCCCTTTCAAATCATTCCGAGCTTTCTCATTGCATCTTAGCCCTTGAAATTAAACTTCTGCTTTTCTCACATTTGTTTTACAAACATCCAACTTATAAATTCTTGAAGGATATTTCTGTGAAATATTTGAAGGGTGCATTACCCCTCAAATGAATGTAATGATTATAATATCATATAAACTTACCTTCTTCAATCTCGGTAATCTTTACTGACTCATCATATCCAATTCCTTGACCATGCTCAGATCTACAAATAGTAACCTTTTTTTTTAGCTCTGATAGTGTTAATAAAGCATCCCAGATTGTTAAGTGCGCACAGCTTTTATAACCGCTTCTTAAAAGAACAAAAAATGATTTAACCCTCAGCTTTGATTATACCTTAAAAAGATTTAAAGTTTGATTTTTTGCAATCTTCACTAAACCTAAATTGATTTCACATTACCAATTACTTTTGTCAAAAATTTTTTTTTAATCAAATTACAATTTGTTAGGGTTTTATTTTATAATTTATCACAATTCAACACAAAAAAAGTCATACATACCAGTATGCAGGCTGTCGATTTTTCCCTGTCATCAACAAAAAGTTACTAATTCATTTCTGTCATCAAGTCACATCTTCAACTCCTTAAATGAAAAAAGGTTTAATAATATGATATAGGCAATGATCTTAATCTTTATTTCTTAAAAATATTCGATTCTATAAGTTTTGAGCATAGGTTTAATAAAAGGTAATCATCATGAAGTAATTAGAAAAACTGTTTACCATATATAACCAATTCATTTTAAATATTTTCATGAATTCATTTTCTTGATTTGAACTACATGTAATACCTGGAAGATTAAAGTGGAAATATATTTCTATATATTTCTAACAATACACCATATCCATCCTCTCTCCACAATGAACAACTTCCAGTCTTACAAATCTGCCGGTACAGAGGTGTAGAAAGCTGCCCCAAACACGAAACCTTCTGCGAGTAAATAAGTGCCGGTCCTCTCGAAAGGATCGTGAACCAGTCTTGATCAACTTCCACCGGTTGTCTGCCAAGCTCTTGATTATTCCTAGAAGCTGAATAATAAAAAAGCAAAGTCCAAAAACTAATTGATTTGCCATTACCTCGGACATATAAAGAATTAGGGATACTTGCTAGAACAAAGACAACTAACTTCTGTCTCTTCATAGAATCTAACATAATTTAGGTAGGATCTGAAGAAAGCCCTTTTATTGGTCGAGATACATGTATAGAACACGACTCTATATACTCATGAATTACTTCTTATCAATCTCGGATTATCATTATTGCAAGTAACATAATTTCAGTCTTTCAAACAAACCTTTTTAATCCTGTCATAACTCGTTTTTCTGTTTGACATATTGCCACTACTCGGCGGTCGAACCATCTGCATTTCTCATATCTCAATACATGGCTCATTAACACATTGGAGGGCTAATCAGTTGAAAGATCGTATTTATTTAAAATTACTTATTGCGATCAAAAGCTAAGGCAAGGTTAATATACCATGTGCGAACAACATTTACATAATGTTTATATATCACAATATTTCTACCAACAGTCAAGGCCTGGGGTCTTCATCAACAGTAAAGAGACAACTGAACACTTAACTATCAAGTACCAAGTCTTTTTAACTGCCTTTAAAACCAACTATCAAGTACCAAGTCTTTTAACTGCCTTTAAACCTTATCATCATGAAACATTTGGACATACAATCGTACAAAAGGCAGTATTTATAGGAGACAGTTGGCAAACGAAACATAAAAAAATAATTTTATTAAGACAAACATATGTCATGAGATAGCAACATTTTTAATACAATTAACAAAAAATCACACGCGTACAAAAATGTTTACATTTAGGCAAAAATCGCATTACGACCCGTATGGTCAAAACATCGGAACGGAAAATATTATAACACATATTTGACAACCGCAATATTGAAGAAAATACAGGACACTAATGATAATATTTATTTGTATGGTGGGCTGGGGAGGAGTTTGATTGAAACATATCAAGTAGTCTAAAATTATTACAGAAATACATTTTGACAAATATAGACAACAAATTTTAAGTACTTCCATATATTTACATTCAGCGAAAAATGAACCGACAGCCCGCGTAGCCATGGACATGCGTAACAAGAAAATCATTTACTTGACACTTGTTTGACCTTTTTGAAAACCAGAACTTAATTAGAATTAAAGTAACGCATACAAGTCTTTTATTTGGATGAGATGTCCACATGTAATCCTTAAGTATATATACATGAAAGTAACCATGACAATATTTTTCAAACACAATATTGTGACAACAGATATTTAATTACAAATAGGACAATATCGTTCTACTATTTAGCGAAAAAATCAACCGCACAGTCCCTACAGTGGCCAGGACACATCGCCAACCCTATTATCCATGACACATATATTGACAACTGGAACAACGCTAAAATAGAAATACGGAGACACAAATCTACATTTTATTGATGGAGTATTTCTTGACTTATAAAATAAAATATAGTAACATTAGAAATGTCATTTTAAACGAATATTAGACTAGATGAATACGTACATCACACGTTACTATCAAAAATGGACACCTCGATATTAATAAAAACACACATACAGTATGTTCAAATTTAATAGCAAAAATAGCATGACGTCCCACATTGGTCAGAATAGCGGAACCGAAAATAGTATGGACACATATTTGACAGCGCAATATTAAAAGAAATACAGGACACTAATAATATTTTATTTGGATGAGATAAATATCATTTGTAACATTAGAAATACAATTCAACAAATGTTAAACAATATAAGTACATAATGTTTACAAATTAGCGAAAAATAACCGACGACAAAGCGTGGCCAGGGGCATCGCGGCGGAATATATTATGACATAGATAACCAGAATTGTAATAGAATTAAAGGACACATATACAGTAATTTATTGGATGGAAGTAATTGTAATTCAAATATGCATGTTAGTAACATTGGAAATACTTTTTTAAAAATCAAAAATTAGACAACAGATTTTAATTACAACACAATATATTTAATTTTATTATGTTTTGCACTAATAAAGGCATATAGTATGCAACAACGTATGCAACAAATAATTACTGAATGTTCGTCTTTTTGTGGCTTGCCTGTTTATTTTAACACAATATGTTTACATTTTAGCGAAAAATAGCCGACGGCCCGCGTGGTCAGGACATCGCAACTGATATTATTATGGCACATGTTTGACAACTTGAAAACAGCAAAATAGAAATAGAATAGAATAATAACTTTTTTTTGATGGAAGTAATTTTGATTAAAACATATTAATAAGTAACATTAGAAATGCAATTTGACAATTATTAAACCATAGATAATAATTACAAAACAGTACAATACTTTTACATTTAAAGCAAAAAAAGCATGACGTTCCACATGGTCAGAACATCGGAATGGAACATATTGGGACACATATTTGACAACCGCGCTTGAAAGAAATTCAGGACACTAATAATATTTTATTGGGATTGGGGAAATTTGATTAAAACATATCAATTAGTTATATTAGAAATACAGTTGAACAAATATTAGACAACATACTTTCATTACAAGTACAGTATGCTTATATTTTAGAAAAAGAATAACCGACGACCAAAGTAGCTAGGACAAGTATTTTACAGTATGTTATTGGATGGAAGTCATTTTAATTATCATATTCATGTTAGTAACATTTGAAATAACAAATATTAGACAACAGGTTTTAATTACAACACAAGTAAATTATGTTTACATTTTAGCGAAAAATAACTGATGGCCCGAAAAATAACCGATGGCCCGCTTGGCCAGGACATAGCAACTAAAATTATTATGACACATATTTGACAATTGGAAAACAGTAAAATAGAAATAAAAGTCGCATTGAGAGAAATTGTAATTTAAATATACATGTAAATAACATTGAAAATACATATTTTAACAAATATTAGACAACAGATTATAATGACAACAGAAGTACAATATGTTAACATTTAGAGTAAAAATGAACAGTGCACCGCGTGGCCAGGACATCGGAACAGAAAAAAACTCCACACACCAAGACTCTCGAGTACTCCATACCAGTCTTGATCAACTTTCTTGGTTTCTGCAAAGTCAGTCATTGCTCACCAGTATTCACAGCTATTCTGTCACATGGCAACTCTCCACCTTTATTTGCAGATGTATCCCTAAGTGCGAAAATATAGAATAGGCCGGTGACAATTATCTCAAAATGTAAATATTTACTTTATCTAAACAAACTTTTTAAACTCAACATATTACAATTAATTTGTTGCTTTTGTAACTCATATGGCAACATTCAAGCTAAATTGGTAAATGAAAAGTTGCTGTTAAATGCATTGTTTATAGCAAGAGTTGGTATTAAGTAAAACCACCTAACTGTCAAAGACGCTTGCAAGTCAAACTACAATTAACAAGGCTATGGGAATTTCCTCGTCCATGCAAACGTCTAGCCCATTATTCAAAATGGAAATAGCGGTTATTAAAACGACATATTTGATTTTACAGGGACTTCTAACCCTCATTTATGAATATAACCGTGACTCATCACCTTTTATGGGAACTGCCCGTGACATCAAAGGGCAAGTTTTACCTTACAATACACCGTGTCCATCTCTCTCCACAATGAAACAACTTCCAATCTTACAAATCTGCCGGCACAGAGGTGTAGAAAGCTGCCACAAACACGACTGCTTCTTGCG